GTGTCAGAGACAGAACAAGGATGGGACAGACGCTGTTTCAGGCAAAGGAGAGTAATAGGGGATTTGTTCTCGTGGTTTGCGAGGCTGCTATCAAAGGCTGGCCGTGCCACCTAGCTAGTGAGAATCACCCTGTAACTAGCTATCTAAGTATACAACTGCTTTGGCAAGCAAGGGGACTATGCAAGTATCAACCAATATGCAAAAAGGTCTCAGGCTGCAGCGGCAAGGCAATAATATATATCAAACTCGAAAAAAAAAAAAAAAAAAAAGGAATGAAGAAGAACCAGGCCAAAGCGAGATAATGTAACCAAGACGAGGGACCAGACATGATAAGATCAGATAAGATCATTAACCGAGAGGAAGCAAATTGGTTGATTGATAACACGGCCAACACCTCGCGCCAACCCTCGAACCGACGGGGAACATTTGTCATTTTCTAGTCTTGCTTTATCTGCCTTCCATCGGACGTTCCCCGACCCAATTCGCTGATCGTCGGATGCAAGTGATTGGTACGGATGCATCCGTTCTGATGGGGATATGGGACATGCTAATGTAAGGCAGCAGTTCGTACCCAGTCGGTGGAAGAGACTGGATGGAGAATCAAAAAAGAAAGTAATTAAAACAAGCAAAAAGGGCAAGCAAGTTAAGGCGGAACAGTGGGCTCCGTAGTTCGTTGTTTATTCCGTCTTGTGATTTGCTTTTCTTTGCATTCCACTTTTTCTGTCTGCTGGTCAGTCCTCTCGTGTGATGCCGGCCACGTTGAGAGGGCTGGTGAGTATGCGTAAGTCGTAAAAATAAGTACATAGTTAATGGTCGAGCCGATCTAGAAAAAAAAAAAAAAAGGGGGAGGAATAGATAAAGAAAAAAAAAAAAAAAAACCAAGCTAATACAGATAAGCAGTGAAGCGCCGGTAGATCGAGTGCGGAAATGACGTTATGTGAAGCATGTAGGGGTGTACTTTATGTGCAAAGGGCGATATAGACAAGGAAGAAAAAACAGGATAAAGACAAGAAAAAAAGGAGCCAGCCAACGAAGAATGTGAAGAGGGATGAAGTGACGGCAAGCTGAGAAATACGTTGAGTCATATATCTAATCAGTCGTATAATAGCGAGTCCAATTCAATAGGGCAGGTCGAAGCAGCAAGACAAAAAAAAGTCCATATCACGTATCCCTGTGCATGAGTTCATCACCAGCCAATGCCAATACCTTTTTCGGCATGTGAAGGGGAAAGGAGAAGGGATGGGGAATGGAAAGGGTTTGTGTTATTGTTGTAAGGAGACCATATATAACGGTATTGACCGGCTTATCGGTGCCAGGAAGAAGAAAGAAGAAGGGAGGAGGAGAAAAAAGGAAATTATACGTTAGAAACGAAGAAATGATCATAATTCATTAGACCGAGCAAGCCCTCCGGGGAGAAGGAAAAAAAACCACAAACCAACAAACCAACCCATTGGCAGAAACTAAACCAAAGAATCATCATCGTCGTCTGTCTGTTTATCTGTTTGTCTGCCTGACTGTCTGGTTATAGGCATAGATGAGTAGGCCAAGGAATTAAGGAATCGGCGGAAGCAGGTGAATACGACGACCACCAAAAAGCAAAACGCGGAGATGAGAAATGGAAGGCAGGGAAGAAAGGGAGAAAAAGAAAGAGAGAAAAGCCACCCAACTGGAACCAGAAGTATGTCGGTTTGAGTCAAGTCAAGTTAGATAGCCAGCTCAGTTCCCGTTTCCTTTTTTTTTTTTTTTTTTGTTCCGACCCTTCCTTTTTCTTAGTTCGTTTCTTTTGGTATTCTTTCTTTCTTTTTCCTTTCCCATCGGCTTACCTGCCAATCGGACTGGTGCCCATCATTACCTTTGCATCGGTGATGACGATGGTAGGAGGAAGGGAGGAAAAAGGTGGGATATGAGGAAAAAGTGCATGATTAGAAGCCTTCTTCACCAGCTTTGCATAGCTTGATATCCCGGACCCATTCGGATTTAAGAACCTGAGAAGCTGTGATACGGCGTCCAGGGTTGGGGTCAAGGATGGAGTAGATAACGTTTCTACAGCGTGCCTATATTTTCATCTATATGTTAGCGGGGAAGAGGAAAGTTGAGACAGGGAGGGCGAATGGGGTATGGTGATGTAATGTCAAGTGCCAAGACAAGAGAATCGTGCGATGTTACTTACACGATGCAGAGTCTCAATAGGGGCGTAGCCATCTTCGTCCCTGCGTCCCTCAAGGTATCGATCATAGAATTCGTCTTCTTCCTTCTGGGCCTGGCGCCACAAATGTCTTCCGGTCCGCATAGCCATGTAGATGACACCAGTAGCCCACAGATCTACAGCTCTGGGGTCGAACTCCTTATCCACGTATTCTTCGGGTGCGATATATGGTGCAGACCCACATAAACCAGCGGTCATGTGCGCTTCTTTCTCCCAGGCCATGCGGAAACATTCCCCGTTGCCGAAATCAGTGATCTTGAGCGCACCATGCGTAGTGAGCAGGAGGTTTTCGGGTTTCAGATCTCGATGAGCAACGCCCATTTCGTGCATGTATTCGACGCCACGCATGAGTTGCTTGAAGTAGCAGTCAGCCTCACCGACCTCAAGTTTGCCGGCAGCGAGAATGAGAGTGTAGAGGTCTCCTCCAGCGCAGTATTCCATGACCTCGCAGTAGTCACCCTTGGCGTCCTGCATGAGATCGAGGGTATGAATGATATTTGGATGGCGGAGCGAAGAAGAGATGCAGAACTCTGAGGTAAGACGCTTCTGGTATTTCTTGACTGTTTCTTGGGGTCGACGGCGGAATTCCTTGACGGCATAGACGTGTTCTGTCTTGGAGTCCTTGGGATCGATCTTGTGGGAGATGCGGACGATTCCAAAGGCACCCCGTCCGACGATTTCATGGCACTTGCCGTACTTGTCAACAAGAGAGGCCGTGCTGTTTGGTCCGCCCTTCTTATCGGCTGCCATCTTCTCCTTTTCGTTCTTCAGCTGGTCAACCCAGGTGGAGACTAGAGACAGCTGCTGCTGGTCATCGGCCTGGCCTGGTGGGTGAGCGTGAGCGTGAGCAGCATCTTCCTTCTTCTTTCCGGCTCCGATCATATCTCGTAGCATGTCCGAGAGCTTCTCCTGACGCCTGGCCGACTTGAGAGTGTGCTTGTGTGTTCCATCTGGGAGTAACTCGAACCGCTTTATTGGCTGAACGGCGTCCTTGCCCTTTTCTGCCCTTTTGTCTGCAGGTTTCCCATCCGGTTTCTTCTCTGCAACCTTCTGGTCGGCTTTTCGGTCTGTTGGGCCTGTAGCCGGGGAAGACGAAGGAGGCATCATCATGGTCGAAGCGATGGTCGAGTCACCATTCTGTCTGGGGGACGGGTCGAGAGACTGTCTACTGGGGGAGACCGAGGCAGAAGGCGCTGACGAGCGGGTCTGAGAGAACATGCGACTGAGCCGGTTGGTCATCTTTGCTTTCGGCGGCTTTTGGGGGACGATCGAGGAGGCCGCTGAGAGAAGCGAGGCAGTCGTGGCGGTAGAAGAAGCAGTGTTGGGGGGTCCAGGAGCGGGAGCAGGAGCAGAGGTAGTCGGAGGAGCGGGCTGACGGGAGTCTTCCAAAGCGCGTGTTAGCTGGGGATCTCCATGCTGTGAGTGCGAGGTCGAAGAGGAGACGGAGGACGGAGACGGAGACGAGAGTGGCGTGAATGAATTCATGAGAAGAGCCGGAGCAGGGAAGGTATTTGTATCAGTTGTTATTGTTGCTGCTGTTGATGAGGTGGCGGTTGGCTGGTGGTGAGAGTAGTAGACGTAATAAGCAGCCCGTAGTAAGGAAGTAAGCGGGCAGAGGAGGTGAGAAAATAGGTGAGGGAGCAGAGTAAGCCAGGCAAGGCCCGGCGGTCAACGAGACGACAAAACGGTAGCAAGCACCGATGCTGAGCGTCTCTCTGTCTCGGGCGGTGTCTCTGGCAGTCTCTCCGTCTGGCGGGCGGCGTGTCTGCGGCTGCGGGTTGCTGGCGAAGTGTGTGGGAAACAGGCGAGAGAGAAAACGGCGGGCGACGGACGAGACGAGGAGGAGGAGGAGGTTTTGGGTCAAAAAAAAGCCAGGCCAGCGCTTGGTGTGGCTGACTAAGCCTGTCCTTGCTCCTTTAACCAAGTGGCTCGAGCTCCCCTCCTTGCTTGGTCAGCGTCTATAATCGCGGCTGGCACCAGGAAGTGCTCCATACGAGGTCAGCAGCAGGAGGAGTGATAGACATCAGAGCGCAAAGCAATGCGAGAGCAAGAGCAAGGAGCAAAGAGCAAGAGCAAGAGCAGGGGCAGGGAGGCCGTCGGCATGAGGTCCAACCCTTGCCGGCTGTCCGGCTTGCCTTGCCTCCTCGCCCGCTGGCTGGTCGATGATGCACGACGCTGCACCACGCTGCAAGGCCATGCACGACGCTCATGCACCTCGACCGGCTGCCGCATGGCGTCTGCCCTTTGCTTCTTCCTCGTTCTTCGTTGCTTCTTCTGCTGCATCCCTCTGCCTGCGATCTCCCATCTGCCACCGAGCCAGCGCCCGCCCGGCTAAATCGCGCAACGCCGGAACGCGGGAGCTTTTCTCCCGGTTAAAACAGCGTGGACTTGCCTGATTAGGGGCGCCTGCCGGCCTGAGTGCCGGTGCCGCCTGGGTGTTATTAGCTGACTCAGCGCCAAGGCATTAGCCACAAAGCTAAGTCGAGGTACTTAAGGTTAGTTCGACGCCTCGGATTTCACAGCAAAGAGAATGGAGCAGTACTCCGTAGAAAGTACTCCGTAGAAGTACTCCATACTCCATGAAGGCGCGGGTGAAGGAGACGCAGGAAGTGCAGTGAAAGTGTGCAGGATGGAGAGAGGCATTTCAGCTGGTTGCTACTGTAGGACAAGGAAGGTCTAGATGCTATCAAACAGCTGGTTTTCTTCTATTCTCTCTCGCGCCTTGGTTCGCCGAAAGTGAAAAAAAAGATGACCCTGGTGCTACCGGCAGCAGACAGGGTGCCTCTCAGCCCTATCAGCTATCAGCCCGAGCCCCTTGCAAGTCGAGGGGAAGTCGATTCCCTTCTCTTCTTCTCATTGATGCGCTGGCCTGCTTCTGATCTTGAAATTTTGCACGGATATACCCGCATTGTTCTTGGCGTGGCTTGCCAGAGCTGAAGATAGCTTGGGCCCCGGTGGGCTTTTGGGGCTTTCCTGGACTAGGTTTCGATGCTTGTTGCTGCTGTTGTACAGGGGAGAATACATGGTCCGGTATCCCTATCGTGCCCTTCCCCCCTCGAATCTCTTCATCGCTGTGGCTGGGTAGTTTGCTCTTTTGATTTCTTCAAATCACTCTTGGCTCTCTGCTTTCTTGGCAGTTCACCTACTTAGGAGAGCACCCGGGTCTAGAACGAGACGGTCAGCTAGTCTTTTTTCAACTCCATTTTATTGCAGGCGCAGAGAAAGGAACGGTAGTACCACAAACTGCTCAAGTGACTCTTCGAAGAGCTCGTTGTACACTCCAACGCCACCAGGATGTTCGACTGGAGAAAGGGGGTTCTTCACCACTAAATGCCAACATATCAGAAAAGCACGCCCTGTCTGGAACAAGGGATAGCAGCGTGGAGTGACTCACCGTATTCCACGTACAGGTTGACATATATCTGGTGCAAGGCGAGGCGCATATTGTTTGCCTTCGTGTCGGTCATCATCACAAACTTCAGGTTCGTTGGTGTCTCGTAGTAGTGTAGCTTATACTGGCCCGTCCGGTAACACACGAAGCTTTTTCGCTCAAACCACGTCAGCTCCTCGTCATCACCCACAGCTACCTTAGCCCTATACCTCCTTTCTCTCCCGCTTCTCTTGCCGCCTGTCGTGGAGCGCGGGTTTGGGGGCCATACTTATCGTCCTCACCACCGAGCTTCCGTACCATGTTTCGCAGCGAGAAGACAGCCCCAAACACTAGTCGAGTGTCCGTCGAGCCCGACTTGTGAGAGTCTTTCATCAGGCCGTTCGAAAGCGCTCCGTCCGATGGATGTAGGTCCTTGCTCGCTCCCCCGGCAGCTGTGCCTGGACGCGGGTACCATTGTCGTTGGTATATGCACTCCGCTGCGCTCACGTCAGAACCATTACAACAACGCCTCTTTTTTCTTCAAGGCAAATCGATGCACTTACCATGCCGGTCGAAGATGAAGAACGAGTAGACGACCATCGTGGGGAGGGCCAGCGCTGTCTCGCCCGCGTCTTTGCTTGCTTGTCCTCTTCTGGGTAGTTCAAGGGGGAAGAAAAGACGCCCGTTCACGTGACGTTCCTTTGTAATCTCCCAAGACGCCTTTTCTTCGCCTGTCGAGGATGTAGCTAGATACTTAGCAGACAGCCCAACAACCACGCTCTCTTCAGCCGTTGTTATCTCCCTTACGCGGCCCAGTGTTTTTAATTTAGAGTATTTGCCAGGGCTATCTGGACGTCGACGACTGGCTGAGCCTCTGCAGACTATCCAGGTGGCCGATTTCAATCCCAACGCCCGTTTTGCCTTGCCGAGCCGATAAGAGTGGCCAGGGAGACGAGCCGTCCACCATTATACATCCCCCCAGAGCACCACACAAACCAGATATCAAGCGCCATGATCTAGCTGATGCTCATGCCCGACCCTCTACGAACCGTCTACAACACTCTTGACCTTGTCTACCGTCTCGATTTCTCCCTCGACTGTGGTGGGACACCATGAAGCTATACTAAATACCTGGATAGCCCGGTCGACCGCCATACCCCACATCCCTCCAGCCTTTTTCTTCCCTGTGCATGCACCTTGAGTGCTTAGGCTCACAAACGTGCACGGCAGACAGAAAACGGTCAGATATATCAGGCCACGTCCTCCATCTCTTCAGCATTCATGTTCGAGAAGACCGCTCCGCCGGAAAGCAGCGCGGCCTACCTTTTCATATAGATACTACCCGGTTTGACCCTTTCAACTGACGCCCAGTCGCTATAGATGGACGCCGATCCCATCTTGAAGCATGGCCGAACGGCCCAGCTCGCTCTAGACGCTGAAGCGCGGACTACTCGAAGCTCAGAACCTGGTCCAACCGCTCCAAAGGGGTGCGTCCCTCCATTTTCCTCTCTGTCTGTGTGTGGGGTAGCAAGCACAAAACTAGTTCAACTAACGACGCTCTCCATGAGAGGGGGGAGGGTACAGTGCCAGGCCTACCTCCGGCTCCTACGATAGCCCACTGCGGCAGCATGCTCGACACCCTACAGCCCCACGGCAGGTTAAAGTTCGTCGTCTCCGTCTACCTCATGCAGCAACATGCTACAGTTTCGATTCGACGCGATTGACTAATGAATAGCCTATGTCAAGGAAACACTCAATGCTCAATCAACGTACACCAACAGCCAGGACGATAATACAGCGGAACACCGTATCAATCAGTATTTAATCAAGCAGGAAATTGGCAGAGGCTCGTTTGGTGCCGTCCACCTAGCTACGGATCAGTATGGGCAGGAATATGTACGTTTCGCAAAAAAAAGCTGGCCTGTTCACCAAAAAAAAAAAACGCACAAATGTTGCCTTCAACCTCTAACAGCATTAGGCCATTAAAGAATTCTCAAAATCTCGCCTGCGAAAACGGGCTCAGTCTCATGGTCTCCGCCGTCGTCCCGGAAGACATCCAGGTGTTCAACCTGCTGGTGTTGGCTTCAATTCACCACTCCATCGGCACCCTTCTGGAATCGACGAAGGTGAAAACGGAAACTCTCTATACCTTATCAAAGAGGAGATTGCAATTATGAAAAAGCTCAATCACAGCAATCTTGTGTCCCTGATAGAGGTGCTAGATGACCCTACCGAAGATTCTCTCTATATGGTGATGGAGATGTGCAAGAAAGGTGTCATCATGAAAGTCGGCCTAGGCGAACAGGCAGACCCATACAGTGAGGAAAACTGCCGATGTTGGTTCCGTGACCTTATCCTAGGCATTGAGTATCTACATGCGCAAGGGATTGTGCATCGTGATATAAAACCAGATAACTGCCTATTAACAAACGACGACGTCCTCAAGGTAGTCGACTTTGGTGTTTCCGAGATGTTCGAGAAGACTTCAGACATGTTCATAGCTAAGTCAGCAGGCTCACCTGCCTTTATCCCACCGGAGCTTTGCGTTGCCAAGCATGGTGAGATCTCCGGTCGAGCAGTTGATGTGTGGTCTATGGGAGTGACTCTGTACTGCCTACGCTATGGCCGCATACCATTCCACACAAGCAATATATTCGACTTATACAACGCTATCAGAAATGACAAAGTGGAGCTTCCTGGCGAGACTAATGAACATTTCAAGGATCTCATGACGAAGATTCTCGAGAAGGACCCTGCTAAAAGAATTACTATGCCACAGTTAAGGGTATGTCAAATGACCTTGTATCAATTTCCTGTTACTAAATAATGGCTAGGCGCACCCTTGGGTTACCAAAGACGGTACAGATCCCCTTCTGTCTGAGGAGGAGAATACAGCAACTCTCGTGGGGCCACCGACAGAAGAGGAAATGGATACCGCCATCACTAGGAATCTAGGCCATGCGCTTATCGTAGTATGTATCTTTTACCGCATGTTGTTCTCGAAAGCGGTCTAACCCTTCGCTTGCAGGTTAAAGCCGTCCAGAAATTTAAACGACTTATAAATGACGGAAGCCCGTTGCAGATGGAGAGCATTCTCGGTGAGGGTGAAGAATCGCACTTTGTGCAGCCTCCTCTTCTCATGGGAGAAGAGGAAGAAGAAGAGTTTAGTGCCGTCTTGCATCATAGGAACATGCAAGAACATGTTTATCCCAGACGGCCAACTCAACCCAAACGGCCAAGTCAGGCAACTACCGATAATTCACCATCAGTTTCCACTCCGCCTCTCGAGATATGTACATCTCCATCCCCACAACTCCAATCTACACCCAGAGCAGATACACCCACGCGACAGACAGGTTCTGAAGGCACCCGTGGTCATGCTCGTGACCCGCTAGAGGAAGAGATGCCTTTCCTCCACATTGGCCCGTCAAATTTTGGACCGGAGGCCGAACTTAACCAAACAAAACCAGATGATTCGGCCTTGGAATCTGGTGGAATCCCGATCCCTGCTAGGCCGACTCTTACTGAATCACCCATGATCGTCAGTGAATCTCCTCCGGCAGCGGACATCGATATCTACGAGACAGCATATAAAGAGATAATCGAACGGATAACTAGCCGGAGTCGCGCAGCCCAATCACCTACACCTAGGGTATACCTCAACCGAAGAGTTGAGAAGAAGGCAACAGCATCTTCTGGCCTGTGGTCGCAAGTGAGAAGGAATAGCAAATTGTCAGGTGTACCCAGTCCTTCGACTGCTACTCCTGTACCTGGCTCCCCTCCTCCGCGCCCTAGCCCTATCAAGCGATTCACTGCCGCAGCTGCATCTTTTGCAGCATCTTCGGGAAGGCAGTCGCCGTCGCCGTCGCCGTTGGCAACATCGGTAAAGGTGAATGATGTGGTTGACTCGGATAGGGTTATTGAATCTAGTCCTCTGGACACCTCTGCCGCTGTAATAGAGACAACGGCTTCCCCCACCGCACTATCACCGGTTGATGATGCGAAAAAGGGCATTTGAAAGTTACTTGATTTGTCTTACTACGTGCAACTAGTACAGGAGGAAAATGCTAACTCCGCAAATGATGACGGAAATGATTGGATGATAACGGCGCTTTTCTTCATTTCCGCTTTATTTCATAAAATTCTTTCTCCCTTGCCATGTTTTCTTCATTTATCCTATTGATATTGGGATGGATCATGTATTGAAGTAAATCTTATACACAGCGCAATATACATAAATGGTTACTCGCGTATCGATCCTCTATACCCATTTGGCATTAACTCTATGGTTCTATAACCAGTCATATATTACATTGATATCCAAAGCATCTTATTATACCCCACCCGGAGCAGCCGGTGCCACCGGTGGTTGAATAGGCTTCATCTCTTTTTGAATTCGCGATATTTCCCTCTCCAACAGCTGTCGCAAGTCAATTCCCTTCGCAGCTAGGGCATCATGCTGGCCTTTCGATATCGATTTCAACAAATAATCCGACACCGCATCTCGCTCACGAGACATAGGCCTGCCAACCCCGATAGCCAACCTTATCAAAGCTGTAGGATTCGTCGAAGAGTGGGCACCACCGCCAGAAGAAAGCAGTCTAGCCTTGACTAAACTCTCTACCACACTCTTAATCCCATTATGTCCTCTTGAGCTCATTTCCGGCCCACCATATCGAATATAAAGGTTCCCGTAGGACCGCTCCAGTTCATCATGCAATAATATTAAATTCGTCGCGCGAACATGTACCATTGGTTGCATCCCTCTTGCCTTTTTCTTTCCGATATCCGGGGATGGAATGGGTATGTCGGACGCCAGATTCTCTCTTGCAAGCCATGATTTATATGCTCTTGCTAAAGATGGGCCTGATGTATTCATGTAGCTCGGCGATTGCCATAATGTTAAATGACTCCGGGTCTTGGGGAGGTAGGTTTCTGTTGTTAGGCCGTTGCTGAGGGTTGGGTCAGGATGAAATGGGGCTGCTCTCATGAGCTCCGCAAAGGAACGGAGAAGGATGTGGCCGGCGCTATGAAGAGTGTTGTAGTACGTTTGCCCCGGGTTGCCTATCGAGGCGATGAAGAAGGAGGAAGTGGCCGCCATAACTGGGCGGCGTGATGAGGTGGACTTCGTAGCTGTGCCCTTGCTTGCGTTAACTGTCCACTTAATGAGTTTCCTGACCGGGAGTGTGAAAAGATATAACCGTTCAGCGGACGCCTTTAGTGGTATATCACAATTATGTGACTCATATCATTCAGTGGTGGTGAAAACCACCGAGTTTTGCGTGTGTCTAAAAAGCTTTTTGGTGGATGATGACTCGATGATGTCTTCGTTCACTTTGCCAAGAACGCCAAGCCGGATGACACTGATAGTATTTTGAGCCTCATTCTAAGTAAGCATATGTCTGCTGCCTTCAACGCCTCCAAAAATACCCAAGTCCGTTAGCTTAGTGACTATTGGTCTGGCAGATATCCTAGTGGTGGCTTTCTCTATGATGGACTTGGGATGCATTACAGTGGGCTTAGAAGCCTTTGAGCTAAATTTTCCTTTCCTGGAGTTTACCCATTTCTTACTCTTCCCACGTCCAACAATGGTTAACTAACGACCTACTGGGCACTTACCAAATACTTCATCATTCCGTAGTTATAACTCCATCAGTACTCCGTAGGCCTATAAGTAACCGCTTTTTAGCATATAATAGAGTGTAAGTGGTTATTGGTGTGTGTTTTGGTAAAGTTTTAAACTGTGCTATTTATCTGGTAGGCACCACCAATACTCTTATATCTTCCTCTCTAGCGCTAGCTTATTCAATAGACTAGAGCAATACTCCAATGCTTTGTATCTGTCTTGGCTACAATATATAGGCTTACTACCAACACACGTTAAATATTAGCTGGGGCTCGGTTTCTAGATCTCACATCATTTATTCTCCGTTAAGACATGCACCAATGGTTTTACTTTGCGATAGCCATTATTGTCCAGCACCTGTTCAGGAATAAGAAGAAAGAAAATAGTCGATTTTAATACCGGGGTGATATGCATTATTGAGACATTTCCAGGGGTCAGGTAAGTATTCCCATGGATTTCACAATTTTAGGTAGCGGGTCGCCCCGCTGGGTTTAACTTAGATTTGAGCCTCATCTGCCAGCGACATATAAACAACTTTTCTCTAATTGGGAGTCTCTCCGAAGAATACCAACACCACTATCCCGTATATAGTTTATTAAGTACACAAGGATATGCAACCTGCTATGGTGGAAGAATCAACTATTGGATAATATCGTCTTTTTGGCTGCTTTGGATGCCAAAAGTTACAATAATGCTTGGAAGTGAATATCGCAATTTATCGTATGGTAATCGCATCCGAGAAATCTTTCGGGATATAGCATAGTTGTCGGCATTAAGCAACTGAAAAGGGAGGAATATGAGGTGAGGAGGCATACGGAGTTAGTTAAATGGAATTTGTGGTATTTACCCCCTTCGGGGCCGTCAACCTAAGGATTCATCCACAGGTTCGGGAACCGAAGCCTTCTGTTCAGGAGCGTCATTGTACAGTTGTCGTACATTCCCTTCAGCAATGCGCCCGACATGATATCAATTGACGGCATCATACTAGTTAGAGTCTAAGAAACCTCTCCTTCGTATCACCAAATATGCTGGTAGAATTCTTGGTATTATTGGTGAACTGTCCCGAGACAACCCCGCAATAAATGAATGTCTTTACTTGCCATGTTTCAGTTGACTTGAGCAAAAGACGTCCTGTTTTTATGGACAGGCTGAGAAACTCGGTACCGAATGAGACGGAAGTAAATAAAGGGGTAAGATGACGGACTCAGGGGTGCCCTGAAAATTGAACGCAATCTGGCACTTAGAGGTTTTCTCTATTTTGCGAGCCTTTAATGATCGACTGCGATACGGAGTACGGAGTACACTACTGCGGATAAACATGCCTTTCTGACGATTGCAGTATACAGACCCGAAAGTCTGCAATATACAGGGGAGGGGTGACCACTGGAACAACCATCCTTTTCCACATGTCCCGAAGAACTGGAACTTGCAAAAGGAATATATAACTAGTTGTCAGAGAAGCAAAAAGCTCACAAAGTAACCCCTTAGTTATCAAATCAAGACCGACTTTCGGGTCCAAGGACAGCTGGTCTCTGAAATTCCCTTTCCTTGCTTTTTCCCAGAAATCTGATTCTAGCTTCCCGTCTCCCAGTGCCCTGGGAACAGTGAGAATGGCCAAGCTACCTGTTTGAACCACTCGGGGATATTTCCTCCGTTATTTGCTTTTATCCACCCCGCCGAAAGATCATTGTAACAGATGTTGTCGATGGCTGACGTGCTTGCAAATCCAATCGATTGGCTATTTCTCTGTTACAGGATCTCCGGGGTGAGTGTATGGTAACAAGTCTGTAGTGAACAGTGTCTCCTATGAAAAAAGAAATGGGAAGCCCAGTAATGTTAAGGAGTACACATGGCATTTTCAGCATAGTTAAAAACACCTCCCGTGTTCCTTGGACAATTGACTAACTAGTTAACTAACTAGCTAGCTTTTCGGCTTGAAGACAACTTTTTTTGTGACTTGTTCGTGTAGTTATGTATGTCACTAGTTAGTTACCTGTTGTCTTCCGGACTAGTTAGCTAGTTAACTAGTTAGTGAAAAACCTACTCGTTAGTCATCATAATATATTTAGAACTCGTATCAGTTTTCGCACAAATAAACAGCTCTTCGACTGCCGGTTGTCATGCGGCTTACGCGGACTGTGGTAAGACGTATCTGGGACAGACAGGGACGGTAACTAGTCCTACTTACGAATAGCCACCTCTTCGTTGGGTGCGTTTCTTTTTCCTCCTCTCCTTTTCATTGTTGTCCTTTTTGGTTCTCATAGTTATATATATTTCATCGTCTTAGGCCGTGATGGAATATAGAGACAGGCGAGAGAAACGCGGCTCATCGCGAACTGAACGCAGTCGCTCTCCTGAACGGCGTCTCGTTCAGGAAAAAGACGGGGCTCAGCCAACACCCCGCTGTGCTTCTAAAGAGAACAAAAAACTTATCTCGTCGATCCTAAAGCGCATTCCTAGCTGCTCGGAGGGGTTTCTTCTTCAAGGCACCGACGTTCCACCCCTGAAGGCCGAGGAATGCCCTGGATTCACAGGCGTAAAAATACGCGTCTTGGAGAAAGACCCATTGGATGCAGCAGTAGAGCTGGCCAATAATACCCGCAGCGGAAGCGATACCTCAAGTAATGCAGTGTCGGCCGCAGGTGACACGCCAGCCACAATCCCTGATCATGGTCGCACATGCCTTCTCAACACGGCTATCGCACAGCTGCCTAAGGATGGTTGCGGTTTTGTCGAAAAGTTGAAGCAGGAGAAATCACTCTATGAAAGGAGCACTCTTTCTAAGACCCTGAATGGAGATATCTACCCCGTCCCAAGGAAAACGGCTGTATACTCGCCTTCTGTTGTCATTTTTGGGGACAGCCAAAAGCTAACACACAAGCTAAAGTCCCTTGAAGACCCAGCTTCACTACCTTTGGTGAGCTTTATCAGTACTCCTGCGATTGTACACCCAAATATTAGAGCTGTGCGGACTTATGTAGTCAAAGCCGACTGGAAGGGCGTAGTACGGCGGCTCCCTTCATATGAACAGCTGTACCATTTCAAATCTCACAGACGAGCCGTTAAAGAAAGCATCAGACTTCTTCTGAGGATCTCGGCATCCAAGAAGCACAGGAGGATTGTCGTATCAGTTCTCGGCTTTGATGAGTATATGCACCCCAAGGAAGACTCAGCCAATTGCTGGGCAGAAGTATTTGGAGAGCCGGAGTTTCAGGGAGGATGGTGGACAGATGTTGTCTTCGCTGTTCTTGACCCGCCGCCTCATCCTGAAAGGAATTACGGTCAGGGGCACATCTACATCAACAGGCTGGAAGGGCTTGCAGTTTCTCCTCCGTAAGGGTTGCTTCCTGCGGTCAAATATGGGAGGATTTTGCCAGAACAAGGCAGGGAGTTAGCTGATCGGAGCGAAAAAGTCCTATGGTGCTTGTATATTATAAAGGCGCCTGGTCTGATTTGTTAGGAATAGGGGTGGTTTGTTGGCCAATAAAAGGGGACCTCTAGAAGCCTGGAGTCCGACAGGCCCATTCCCAGAACCAGGTCTACGGGACAGGCTCCAGGTAGAGCTTCTTTTTCCTTTTTCCTTTGACTTCTTCTGTTTCTCGTAATCCGTACTGGTGCTCCGTACCTCCCAGTCAGTATCATTGGTAGGTACTCCGTAGTGCCAGTTGTCGTATCCGATGTCGCGGGCATCATTGTCCGTTGTAGCATCTAATATATGTCACCTCGATTGTGACTTGGATTAGGCTAAAAAGGATACTGCTGGGGACAGCAATATCATCCACAATTGTTGGTGACAAGGACAACTTGATCAGGACAGGGATGCCGTTGGCTCGTCATGCTCTTAAATGGGCCCCGTGGCCCACTCCACTGGAGAGAAGTTACCGACGAAAAGACAGGAGACGCAAGCTGACATGGCTCTGGGAGGGCGATCAGTCCTGGGCTGAATAACGGATGCGGGAGCGGCTTTGCAGAAGTACCCATAGGTCATCCAGACACAACGGAAGAAAAATATCATCCGTCATATTCACCTGCACCTTCCTTCGTCTAAGACCTAATGTGATTCGATCCAAGCCCGAAACCCCATATACGTTGTGTGACAATCACAGAACAAAGGGATGAAGGGATCGATTAATAATGACCACGTACAGAGTGGTTCTAGACAAGACCTTCTCATGCAGCCAACAACTTGTTAGTTCATGCATGGAGAAGTGCGCCGGGGTGATGGGAAGCTACAGCTGGATTTTCGAGCGATTTCAATACTAATGTGACGAGAAGAGTCCTTGGACAATAATACCTTTTCGGCTAGTAACCAATGCATCAAAGACAATCAATTATTGGGTTTCCTTGAGTATGCCGAAGGCCTCAGACCGAAGCAGACTATTTACTATTCAAAGCAAGTAATGATTGTTATTCGGATGACTTTGTTCAAAGTCAAGTCGTATTGGCAGGGGTCAAGCATGCCGCGTTTGTATGGAATAACTTATTAATCTGTACTCCTTAACATCCATGGATAAGAAGGCGTACTCCGTCTGGTGCCCACTTCCCCAGACCCATGAACAAGGCCCCGGTACTCTGTCATGATCATCGGCTGGCCACACCCTCCCAAGCATCTTCGTCACCTCACGCAGCATGCAGACACTTGGTAGGCCGAGAATGCAGTGCTGCTTCATACGGAGTATAATAATGTTGTCGTAGTACCCTATATTTTTCTGTGGCTTACTCGATACTCCGTAATCTGCGTAACTAACTGGTATGGTGGATGGTATCGGTCATGGAAGAAGCAAAGAAATAAGCGTTTGACCAAAATCCCACCACTCTGGGTCAGGGGTAGTTAGCCGAGCCGTAACTATTCTTCCATAAAATCGACAGGCTCCTCTCTTGAACCTGTTGTATATTTCTCCGCTTTCTCCTTTCTTCACCGGAGATCAGCTGCAGTAAACTCGCTACTGCGCGCATCACAATATCCAAATCCGGTCAGTCCGGACATCGTGGGTTTCTGTGGTGATGAAACATGTCTTCCCCTTGGAGAAAAGAGGGACAGCAAGGGATAGGCAAGGGATACTGACACGTTTTGGTCACGATGTATCATCCATTTGTGGAGCTGCTGGGCTTGGACTATTTCATGCACGACGACAAAGTTAAAAAGCAAATAAGGGTCCTGGAACTCTCTGGTTGGGAGATGCGGTGCAACCACCTCCCATCGCTGGTGCGTGCTGGTGCCGGCTTCAGCTCTCCCGACAAATGCAAACCGCAAAATTAGGTTGTCGCATGTTGCTCGTGCAATATATGAGGATTTAATTTTACCCTCAGGTCCCGCTGAGCTTTGCAAAATGAGGGCACTCGATCTACTTGGCAGCACCGAGCCGAGTTATATACGAAGCCAATTCCTCGCCTTCAACTGTCTTTCTCTCTCGCGCTTTTTCCGATGAAGGTTAAGGGGGGGAAAAAGAAAAAGGTCGATGTCCTGCCAGCGCAAGCACTAAAGTGACATGTGCGTGCATCGCACAAAGCAGCCCTCCACCCAGTCTCTTTTCCATGCTTTGCGGTCTGTTCAACATATTCCGGAAGTGTTGCCGTATGATAAGGAGTGTTATATTTGAAGAAGTAAGTATCGCCCCTTTCAAGTTATCTTCGAAGAAATTTATTTTTGCCCAGATGAAAGGACATCCATGGCTCTTGATTTGTAGCTAATGGCAAATTGTAGGTGGGCGTCATGTCATGGCCCAAACGAGACCGCATGGACACAGGAGCCCTCGGGGAGAAACCTCTGACTCTGACATAGATATGCCAGATGAAGGAGATATACCTGATGTCGATATAGACGTTAGTACAGACGGACAGTATTCATCTTTGGCTCCTGGAGAAGAGACTACAAATGCTGGGTGAGTTCAAGTACATTGCTACCGATGAAAACCTCTCTTACCAATTGTTTACTTGCATATATTAACTCTCCATTTTTCAGTTCCACCAAGTCCTTATCCGAACATGCTTACCAGGTGGTGGAGGAAAATGGCCGTCAATATTGTGACAATACATACTTCATGCCGAACGACGAACGAGAACAGACTCGCTTGAACATTGTTCATCAGATGTATCTCATCATCCTAGAAGGCCGATTGACAAAGTGTGCTCTCCCTCAATCGATAAAAAGGGTTCTCGATGTTGGCTCCGGGCCTGGTGATTGGGCGCTCGCCATGGGGGACGAGTTCCCAAACGCCGAAATAATAGCCACAGATATCAGTGTATTTGATATCCAGTCAGTTGGTATATGTCCACCAAATGTGTCCTTTCAAATAGATGACGCTCAAGGGGAGTGGACATTCAATGAGCCGTTTGATTTTATCCATGTCAGAGGACTGGGCGGTGGAATATCTGACTGGTCTCTATTTTACCAGCAAGCATACCAGCACCTTGCTCCTGGAGGGTTTATCCAGGTAGCAGATAGTGCTCTTTTGACAGGTGACATAACTCTGCCGAACTCTCCCCCAAACTCGTACCTCAGCATATACCTTGGGGCACTCGGCTCCGCTGCAGAAATGGCGGGGTACCCTCGAAGTTTTAATCACCTTCGTTCTGCAGCTTTCGAGGCAGCTGGCTTCACTGATATCCGCATATATGACACCAATATCCCTGTAGGCACCTGGCCTACGGATCCACAGGAGAAAACCCTTGGAAAAATGACGTTAATTGTCTTGTTTGAAAGCCTCGAGGCTACCAGTATGCGCCTCTTAACAAAATACCTTGGCTGGACAGCGGAAGAGGTTATAGATCTGTGTAAAAAAGTTCAATTGGAAATTTTAGCGAGCGAAGGCATGGGGGGACTGGTAAAGATAGTTGTGGCCCGGAAGCCACAACAGCTGCTGAGACCTTGCTGATATTTCCAGGTGGTTCTTGTCTCGGCGTTATGGACGTTTGGTAGAGTCCATGGGAGGTTATTTGGATAAATCCCTTAATGGCGATGTCACAATCCTACAAGTAGGATTGTTCTGGGGGTGAATGGAGCAGTTTTATGCCGTCACGTGTTGAGCCCGATTGGGAAAAAGCGACGTCCTTCTGGTGTTCTTTATGTTCGACCTCCATCGTATTTTCATGCTTGTGTTCCTGAGTCTGCACGAAGACGCTGTCCTGCTGACTATATTGTTGTATTTTTTGTTCCTTTCCTTCAGTCTTATTTGATACCCAGTTCATGGAATCCCGGAAGAATTTATGTCCCAAAAATGCTAGTTGCACCCCTGATCAAGATAGGGTGGTGGAATATATCAATCGACTCCTTCTTTCGATCGTCGAAGAATTATCCAAGCCCGATGGCACTCCGTCGATTTCAATGAAGCGCCGGTCTAATCACGCAGGCTATAATCTCAATCTCAGAACTGGCGCTCTAGAATCAAGTGATGAAGTCCGTACATATACCTATTCATGGCCAGGAAAGACAGCCCAAGAAGGTTGGCGGTTTGGTATGAAGTATTATGCTGCGTATGACTGATCTTTGGGTAATTGACTAACAGTCATCATTGTGACAAGGAGTATTGACCCGGATATTGGGTTTGATATCAGAAGCAATCAAGGGGGGTTTTATAAGTTCCAAAAGGGATATTTTCTACCAGGACCCTGTATACTTCGGGTCTCAAAGGCTGGTAGACAGGTACATCGATGATATTGCTTTCACACTCGATGTGGACAGAGCTGCCTTACATGTAGTAGGTTATTTTATTCAATCTCTTATAGGCCGTGGGTTAACATGGAGTGAAGGCAGCAGCAGCAAAAGGCGCAACAGGCGGAAATTTTAGGGTCACGATGAAGAATGGGTCATCAATAGACGTTGGCGCTTGCACAGAGGTAATGTAACCATGATTTTTGTCTCACGCATATGTTCCCTTGCTAAGATGCACCCCAGGGTATCGTAATTCCAAGGATTCATGAAGTTGAAGGAATAGATATTTCCGGTATCTCATGGATCCTGGTCATCGAGAAAGAGGTAAGACTCGCTAACCAGATACTGATAGAATTATATTGTTAACCGCATATAGGCAGTATTTCACCGTCTGATAACATCAGGCTATCACAACGCATCAGCGGCAGGAAATGGGATCCTCTTAACGGTAAGAAGCAGTTAATCTTCCTATAATTCAACCGATCCCTGGGTAGGCCTAATAATCACCTAGGGAAAAGGTTACCCTGATCTTAGTAGTCGAGAATTTCTACGCCTTCTTTCGAGGCATGAAGTATGCAACTCTAAGATGATTTCTAACCCTGTGCCGATATATATACTGGTTGACAGTGATCCAGATGGGATAGCAATAATGTCAACTTACAAATATGGGTCGATGGCCCAGGTGCATCGAAATGCCGATCTCAACGTGCCTTCAATACAATGGGTAGGACTGCAGGCTTCCGAGATGATGTCGGTGGCAAGTCATACAAATATGTCCTCACTAGTCCCAATGAGCCAACGTGACCGAAAAATGGCAGAGGCTATGCTTAAACGAAACCCAAGCGTTGCTGAGGATGGCCCGGAACCAACATGGAGAAAAGAGCTGCAATCAATGCTAGTTATGAATCTGAAAGCAGAGCTTGAGATATTGTATGAATCGGATGGTGGCATGGAGGGATGGCTCGATAGAAAAATGTCGAAGTTATGTTGACCAGCCGGTTTTTTCTATGGTTATATCGTCCACATCTTCATTGCTATGTTAACAGTAAGCATATTATTTAAACGTCCTCGGTAGAAATGCAATCGATAAAAACTAACCAAGCAACATAAGTGCGGCCGTGGTAATAATTCACCGCGCTATACCAACGCTAAACCACTTTCCTCCTTTAAAATATGCAATCGTAACGAGACAAAACTGTCCCACAAATAAATGATATAAAGTGAGGGTTGGAAGATCAACCGCTCAAATGGATTTTGTTTCCATTTCACAGTCCTAGTCCCTTCCTAACCTCTTCCCTCACCCTTGCTTCATAATCGGATCTTCTTTCTCGCCACATTTTAGCAGCCTCTACGTTCGCCGGACTTTCGTCATTGGGTTCAGCTAACATGCTCATAACACTTATAAGAATCTTCTCGACACTCTGAATCGGACTCCACCGCTCAGATGCATGCTCGTAGTGGTTTGGGTCGTCGCCCGGTGGGTGTAAGATAGAAATGCAAACGTTTCCGTTTTCAAATACTGCAATTTATGTTAGAGTAAATTCTTCTAGATCGAGCGGAATTGAAGGTAGAAGGGAAAGGTAGCTCAATCGTACTATTTGGATGCCACATATTCCCTAAAAATCGCATGGATGGCGGGCTGAGAGGGTAGTCCTTCGGGAACTTCAGTTCAGCTGCGAACACCCCTCCTTCAAACGGTGTCCCCTCGGGACCTTGTATTAAAGCCTCCCAAAGGAACATATCATCTTCAGTTATAGGGCCAGCTGTAATTCCATCGGGAGGAGAGGTTGAGAGGAGCTTATATTCGTGGAATAATCGCTTTTGGGCGACGGATGATGCCATGGTGTCTCGATATTACGGCGACCGTGGAAGCGAGAAAGTAATATACCGCAGTATACAGAGCCTGCGGAGTTTGACAGGTGCTAGCTTATGCTGGCAATGAGCTTGGTATCTTCGGTATCGTTTTCACGGGTTTTGCTGTTGGAGGTTGACGTTGTTGAAGGTGTCGTTGCTGGTTGCATGTTGGAATGAGCCACTGTGTGGGCCGCGAATAGTTAACTAGTTACCTTAAGCTTTCCTGTCTATCACCGAACCATGGCCAGGCAACATCCGTTTTTACAGAGTTCCACGTTTTGATATATCACATAGTATACAACTTCTAATACACAAGCCTCCATCTTTATCCAGTATGCAACAAGCTGGCATTAAAAAAAATCATCAACGTCACTGCCGTCAGCGCCGTCGCCGCCGTCACCCCATGGGTCACTGCCACCACTAGGCCAGGCGTCTTGCTCTTTCGTTGGGAATGGGCTTTCGTCTCTTTGCTCCCAAGGATACTGATCAACTTCTCCCCATACATCTTCATCTGCTCCTTGTTCAGTACCTCCGTGGCGCTGAGCTTGCTGCCCCTCCATATCTTGAGGTTGTTGTGCTGGGTCCTGGGGTGCTGAGCTTCCCCTACGCATAGCTTCATACCCTGCAATGGAACCAGCACCAACAGCTCCTGCAGCAGCACCTTCCATAGCCCCAGCTCCTCCAGCGGCTGTACCCGCAGCTGCCCCTGCCCCGCCTTCACCAAGGCCAAACAATGGAATAGGGACTATACCGGGGCCGCTGCTATGACGACTGAAATAGTCAAAATCGATGGTCACAGCGGTGGCAAGCAAAACAGCTCGCTGATCCAATGTCATGCTCGGAGCAGGTGTACTTTTCAATGGCTCTGTGCCCTTTGACTGTATTTCTTCAGCCGTGCTTGCTGAATCCATGCGTAGTGCATAAACTCCTGTGTCTGTGAATATCTCTCTTGCAAAGCCTGCAAAGTTGCGGTTAACGGATCCGAGGAGTTGAGATTCAGCTGAGCGCACGGAGAAGTCCCATGATAGAAACGGTTCATCGACATGCGCAAACTGATGCAAGCTTTTTTCCGGCGGAACTGCGGGTTGTTGAATGCCTGCTGGTATACGCCTCACCGGCGTATTTGGATGGGAGAGGAATAAATTGTACTTCCGTCGAAGTGGCGCCCAACGCTGCTGTGCAGCTCCTATAACACGCATCTGTGAATGTTCCAGTGGAGACACTTTAACAGATCCCGCTTGTGAGCCGGGTACATTGTGCTGTAGGTCAATCAATGGTGCATGAGTCCCAGCCGTATTGTTGTGAGGGTCAAACACAAATATTGTAGAATTGATCCAGGAGAAGGGCCTATGAAACTAGTAAAGCTATTAGACCCAGTTATATATATATGCAACAACTTTTGATAACACTTACACGCAAAACTTCATTTTGGTTTCTGTCGAAGACATGAGTGACAAATGGCCGGTGAGTGTGTAGCCACTGGCGAGATAGCATGCTACCCATCCCTTTTTCTTCTTCTGCCATGTATCCTACATGGTTTCCATGGGCATCCAAGATCACATATCGGTTTGCTTGTTCAAAGCCACTGGATAACGGAACATGGGTTAGCCACTGGTTAGAGTCACCCATCTTCCTATCTTCGTCAAAAAAGGGGTATGAAATTACTAACAGCAAAACATTCATCATCTCCAGTTGTCTCTGCACTACCAGCCCTGAATTGGCTAGGATCTGGCTAGAAGGATGGTTCTCTTTAAGTAGTCCATCCGGGTCTTCGGGGATGTGGACTGGAGCAAGCAAGGTGTTATATTGAGGATTCGTTCCGCTGCTGGTAGATGATGCATCACCTTGGCCGCCTGCCTGAGAACCAGCAGAGCTTTTACCTGGCTGTCCCCTGGAAGATGGGGTATTAGAAGGGTTATGCCGTTGGATTGGTCTTTTTGATCGCCTTTGCCATGGGTTCGGCCTGAATGATGCACGCCTCACAGCGCAAAGTCCTGCCGCCACGAGGCAGCGTTGCTTTGGGCGCACAGGTGCATGGAACGATAGAAGTAATCGGGCTAATTCCATTTTTATATTTTCAAGATATCCATGTTATTCAAAATACCGCAAGATATTCACCATGTAGATGCTGTGATGTGTAATTTGCATAAAAAATGCGCTTGGATGTTGCTAATCTTTTAAGAGGTAAATAACTAGTTAGTAGCGTCAAGCAAACGGCACACTATGACTTCATCGTACGTAGCTTGGAACGCAGAGTTGCAAATGTAATATAATTACAATGTCGACGGAATATTATACTTTAAATAGACATACACGAAAATTGATTGATTGAAGACACGGAAGCGTATTCGATTGACGGGAATAAATGCTCAGAATGTATGCTGCATGCCAGGTGCTTATAAAAATACACGTAACAAAAATATCGCTAAACCCAATTGAACCAGAAACGCCTTCTCACACCGTATACGGAGCGCAGATAATGGCATCGTCCCATGGTAATGCCCTGACGTATATGAATTCAAAGAAGAAGAGGCCGTGAGCGGGTTCATAGTAGCCCTTTTCGCGCGAGCTCTATCTTCCGAGCTGTCTCGCCGGCCTTGAAACCGCCCTTGGAAGCACATATGGCGCTTCCTTCCCCAAATTCAAACTTCTCCTCAACCCTAGGATGTGCGCAAGGGCAGTGATGTGGAACGGCAACGCAGGCTAGAGTGCCAGGGCACAGATAATTTGAACATTGAGCTGAAAGATGTATAGATTAGCGGAACGGGTCCTGGTATAGCAGAATATAGAGATCGAATACACACCTCCATTGTAAGCATTCTGATACCATGCGCTATCACTTGGTACATTGCCGCCGTGGCCTGATGATTCGTGGTGTTGTTGGCCACCACCAAACATTTGCTCGAAGAACTGGAACTGAGCCTGCGCGGTGGTAAAGAAGAGAAGCCCAAGCAGGGCTGTCCGGAGCAGGCTGACCATTTCTCAGTCCGAGTGTGGGATCCCGGGTTGTACGTCCGCAAGCTATCCAGAGTCCCTCGCAAGTGGATTGACTGTCAGCCGTCGAGTAGTTATCGAGTATAATGATTGAAGCCCGTCGTTGAACTAAACACGTTGCTCCATCGCCGATAAGCTTGATGGGCCGCGGACCAGTCACGTGACACAAAAATCGGACTTTTTGAAGCTTTTCAACGCAAGGAATGAAAAAAAACGGTCGACAGCGAGCAGCGGATTTCTATCTCGACAGCACCACGGTCTCCGAAGGTTGAGGAAAGGGTGCGTTCGAGTAGCTCTTCTCGAACCACTGGATATACCATGCTAAAACCGCAATTGAGGGCGCCGGTGAGGCTCCTCGAAGGGGTCTTCGCGCAGTGCACAGCCCAAACCTCGAGTCGACCGCATCTCCAAGTCTCCAGAGCCCTTACATCCTCTCTCCTACAGTCCAGACTACGACCGCAACCATCATCTATTATCTCGCAGCTCGGGCAGGTCCGATACGCCTCTCACAACTCGCAAGGTTCCGGAGCGAACAAGCACGCAAAGAACTCACCAGGACGAAGACTCGGTGCTAAAAAGACCGGCGGCCAGGCTGTGGTTACAGGGAATATCATCTTCAGACAACGAGGCACAAAATGGTTCCCTGGCGAAAATGTCGGGATGGGGAGAGACCATACGATCTTCGCCCTTGAGAAGGGATACGTCCAGTACTACCGGGATCCCGAGCGTCACCCGAAGAGAAAATATATCGGCGTTGTTTTCAACAAGGACGATAAGCTGCCCACTCCAAAGAATGCTGTAACGCGAAGGCGGCTGTCAATGGTTGCTGTTCCAAGAAAGACAGAAGAAGCTCCCGTGGAGGAACCTGCCGACTCATCCAAACCTGTCAAGTTGACACTCGTTGCGTCCAGCTCGACAGGCACATACCGATCCGGATACATGCACCGTGAGGCGAACTGGGAGATTGGAAGAGCGGCAGATAAAGCTGGAATAACGGTCCAGGAATGGAAGCGCAAGGACCGCTGGACCGCCTGGAGGCGCAAGCTAGAGAAGATAAAGCGTGTTGCACAAATGAAAGAGCTGAAGAAAAAGAAGAAGAAGATCAAGGTGAAGGCGTGATGACACCACACTTGAATTGTATTCATAATATTTTTGACTGGTTTATTTCATTGTACAATAAGACGGAGCTATCGACATCTATTTCACATATTTTTTTTCCATTACTACCTAATTTTCGGGGTATTCATGTAGCATGATCATTAAGCCGTATAAACAATAAATCATAAGCAAGAGCCGCTGGCTCTGAATTTCAAGAATAACCGCAGCTATCTCTCAAACAATCGACCTAGAATCAAAATTTGACAAAGGAACTCGTTATCCAAAATCTTAATGTTTTTAACGCTTTCATCTGTTCTCTTCCTGTCGTTACCATCTTGCCCTTGAGATGGTTTAACAGATCGAGCACGGCCTCGTGCTGGAGGTTTCAAGATGGTCGACGGAAGCTTAGATAGAGCCGTGCGAGCTGTTGTTGCCGCACTTTCATCGCCAACATATATCCAATCCCATTTACTGCGCCCATGTACCCAGCCTTTTGGTTTGGGATGCAGTTCGTCGGCTTGTGATAGTATGTCAAGAGCAGTTTGGAGAGTTTGAACGGGATAAACATGTTCTGCACCCAATGCACAAGTAAGGAATGCATAGGCCTGTCGTTGCTGTGCTACCTGCTTGCGTCCCACCACGAAGAGCATATACTGGTCACTGAAGACCTTTGGACGAGTAGTGAAGACATCCAAAAATTTGGATTCAGAGGGATGATAGGGTCTAAGAATTCGTGACTTGACGGCGTTGTCAAGAAAGATGGAAGATCCTGCAGCAAGGAGGTATGGTTCCCATTCCACGATTTCCTGTTTCTCGATGCACGCAAATACCCATTGGCTGGCGAGGCAAGGGAGATTAAGGGCCAGAGCTTGCATGTACTTAGCGCGCCGTGAGTGTTGGTCTGTGATCAAGCAGGTAAATCCCATTTCCTTAGCACGTTGGGTCAGCATTAGAGGCCCTTCGGTATGAAGCTCTTCATCTTTGGCAGTGGGCAATATTAACTCCCAGGAAGACGTTTCAAATAGTTGGTCAAATCCATTTTTGAGGATAGTCCCACCGTTTTCAGATAGCATAGATTCAATATGCTTCCCCCTTTTCTCATTTCCAGTATAGGAAAGAGCAAAAGTCATACCGGAAAATATGCCAGCTCTGCCTGGTTCAACAACAGGAGTCTGTTCAGCTTGGGTGCCACGGGTATGCATACTTTGTTCCATTGCTTGAGGTACAGCTGCCTGCGGGTTTTTTGGTAGTGACTCGGTGGAGTAAGGGCGTTCTCCAAATCGAGACCATAGATTTTGATCCAGATATATCTTAGATATAGGCACAGTGATAGCCTGGGGGATTTTACCTTTGGAAACCACCTTGGTCAGTTTCCGTTTCAATCGGACAGTAGTGTGACCATAAATGTCAGACATTTGTCTATCCCAAGCGCTCACTTCTGCACCTTCTGAAGAAGATTGCAGTTTTCTTCCAAATCCTACCACATAATGCGGAGCTTTAGGCACATCCGGATGATTGACCTTAACGATATCACCAATTCTCAATTCTAAGGATTTGGCTCCTCGAATGTCGATTTTCTCTACCTCCTCAGAATCGTCAAAACGTACAAGGAGTTGCTGACTCGTAACGCCATCACTAGAACCCAAGCAAACAGCTGGGTAATATCCGGCTGGTCGACCATTGAAAAAGGCAAAAATATGATTTGCAGCAATGACGTTCTCATTCAGCTTTCCCATATCACTAGTTAAGTCGAGAATCGAATCACTTCTCTCTGTATGGGGTCGGAGAGAGGGTGAGCTGGGGGTGCGTGATAGGGGTTCAAGAGGTGTAGATGAGGATGGATTAGATGGAAGGTGAATAACGACGGCGTCGATAACTGTGCGTTTGTTCCGAGAACGGGGGGCTTCTGCTTTCTGTGCCTTTTTCCGAAGGATAGGAAGGCCAGTAGATAGCGTAGGTTCAGTTTTTTCTACTGGCCTTTGAGGGGATGGCTGAAAATCCCAAATATCATTCGTATCTACATCAACAGGGGGCTTTGAAGGTTCGTGTAGCTGTTTGGTCGCCCGTTGAAGAGTCTTAGGGGTATCATCATCAATTGGCCCAATGGGTGAAATAGGCCTATATGCTGGCATATCATTGTTCAGCTCATTAGTTAGGTTGTGCCGACGATTCTGAAGAATCTCCTGGATTCTTTTCCCATCATTCCCGCGTCTTCTTTTAATGGGCGAGTCAACCGTAGCCATCATTGACTGAAAAATCCGATCATCGGTGTTAAGTAGGCGAATTTCGTTGATCGGGATGTCAGAAACTGCAGGGCGTGGGGACTCATCCGAAGCAATAGCCGTCATACTCCTCCGCTGTCGGCCACTGGGGCTAGATAAAATTGTTTGGGCGCGACGATTAGTGCGAGAGGCGGCCAGTTCTTGAGACCCAAGCGATTTTAATATTGCAGAGTTTCTGAATCGTGGTGGGTTAGGAAGATTATTGTCCTCATCTATGTCGTCAATATCATCGTCAAATTTCGTTGGACTGTCAGTATTACTGGTAGATTCAACGAAATCATGCCGCTTGCCAGTAGAACTAGTTTCAGGAATTGCTTGCAAGAGATTTCTCCTTTCAGGGGCGGACTGGGAAGGGGTTTCGAAGACCCGAGAGGTTATGGAGGACTCATTGTTAAGATTTGACGCATCTGTATCAGGGTTATGAGGTGTTGAATATTTTTTAAGGTTTATTGTTTTCGGTAATGGTGACGGCGAATGCTGCGAATCTGGAGAGCCATACTCTGCATCATGCTGGCTGTTGATAATGTTGTTGATGGCTTTCAGTGGAGGTGATGAAGGTATTTGCTCTGATACTTTTCTGGGCTCCATGTCAGTCTCAATCATCGTGCTCCTACGGCTTAGGGGATTATTTTCCTGTTCTTTCCGTAGAGTGCCGGATTTAAGAACACCTTCTCGAGGATTTCCACTCCTTTCTGGTTGGAAGACCCATGGTGGGCGTCCTCCTCTCTTTGTATTAGGTATGTGTTGGACAGAACTCGTTTCTGTGGAAGAGTGAAGTCCTCCAACATTTGATCGGCGATTATTTGATGGACTTTGATCGAGATCTAAGACACTTGAGAGTGCACTATGAGTGCTAACAGCGAGAGTTGAATGTTGAACTGGACCGCTGTCAACGTTCTCCTTATCTTCTTCCGCGAAGGATTGAGTCCGCTGAGAGCTGCGAAGCTGTTGAATCATGCAAACATCTTCCTGCTCAGTTTCAACCTCGCTATCTTCGCCTCGATCAGTGTCAAGAACCTTTTCCTCCCTGCCATTGTCTTCCATTACAGACTGTAGAGCTTTTAGTCTACCGGCAGTGGTATGGGCTGAAGTCAGAGGTGGTGAGGATGAAATATCTCGCTTGGAATTTTTGCGAGTGGACACCCTTGCAGGAGCTTTGATATTTTCAAACTGCTTTCGGACTTCATTTTTAGACTGCATTTGGCGTATGCGGCGTTCAATGGCAGATTCTTCAGCCTGAAATAGATCATCATCCCCATTAACAAGATTTGAGTTAGATTTTAGTCTCGATAGCTGTTTTTCTCGCTCAGCTTGTGATTCTTTCATGGATATATAGTTTGTTTCCGGTTCAATTGGGTCGGGACGAGACATGGATGAACCCAGAAAACTTGGTGAGAAAGGCACGGTGCTACGCATCGGCCGCTGGATTGGAATATTTGGTGATGGCATATCAGATGGTAATTCTAAACGAGGCATATGAGTAGATGGGGACGAGGTGGCCTGCGTTGCATTGAACAGCTGGCTTAAAGCCATTACAGACCCTGGTGTTTTATTGTCTGGACCAAAAGGGTTCCGAAGGGTTGATGGTGTGGTAGTGCTTGCAAGATTCGACATATGTCCATGATGAATTGCTGGGGTGTTGGTATTGAATCGTTGTGATTCTGGGAATGGCTCGTAACGTGTCGGAGAGGACGGACCCGAGTCAGAGGCCTGCGAGCCACGGTCTTCGTCAGGATTGGCAGCATCCGCTATGATATCAGCATCAGAAAACAAGTCCACATGTCCCGTGTCCCCTTCATGAAGCGTCATTTGCGTGGTTCCTCCCTCTGCTGCCTCAATGGCATTTATAAACGGTTGCTCCGATGGGCTGCCATCTATATCTTTGCTATTTAACAAACCCTCATATACCGACTGAGATACCGGCTGGGTGTCCCCTAAGGCGCTTCCAGAAGGCGACATTTCCCTATCCTGAACTTCTGGCGTGGTATCCGACCGTTGAACTGCCGAAGATTTCATATTTGACATGGCTGTCTTGTATAGCGACTGCCCAGATTGTTGTATGACACTCGAGGACGAGGAGTTGGCGGGTTTCTCTGCAACAGCCAAAGACTGGTTGCTGAGCATTTCATACTCAAGGAGTGAACCATAGCCCGCAGCTGTCGATGTGAGCCGCGTAATAGCGAAAGTAGCTTGTCTACTCAACGAGGCCTGGGATTCCTATAGTAAAACTGGAAGTTAGGATGAAAATCCGTGGTAGTTAACTAGGCAGAAGACAGGGATTGTCAGCACTCACATTGACGCCTAAGGCTACACTTCTCAGGTAAGTCAAGTCAAGACTGTCTTCCTCGGTTTCCATTGCAGACACATAATTGAGAAAGACAGACGATCAGGCAAGCCGTTTTGTATGTGGCTCTTCGGAGTCGCAGATTTACGAGAACCTCGGAGTTTCGCGGTTGGTGCAAGGATGTTTTTTCCCACGCGAACGAAACGCGCTACGCTGACTTATCCAATATAACTGCTTTGGGAACCAGGGGGGAGTATCAGATATTTCAAACACCAGCCAGGACAAATCGTTACATGGTTATGTTTCTAGTTGTGAAGACGAGTGGTTTACATTTCTAATACAGGCTGCTCGGTGATATATGCAATTAGGATACAAATACAATATAATCAATATAATCAATCACGGCTCCGGTTCGGCACCCATCGCTTGACGGCCAGTTCCCGGACCTGATATGTCTTCAGGAGTTCTCCAATATCCTGTTCATCAGGCTTGCTACCTGTTGTAGGTGGTGGGATCTCCACAAAGCACATAACGAAGCTCTTTTTAACCTGGGCTTGCACCCGGTTTACGCAGTGAAGCCACCACCACGTATGGTTCAGCTTTGCAGCCACATACTCTCGTCTCTCTTCAGTCTCTTTCCAGTACGGATGGCTGTAGGACGGGAGAAGATTGACAGCGAATTCAGCATGTGAAAAGACTGGGCCTTTGTTATAGAGAAGCAAGTCGACACCGAACTTGACTCCGGACCGAACAACCCAGCCGAGGGAACGGAAATGGTGATATGCAATGTATGAAATCATGAATCGGTCGTCCGGTTCGGGCGCCGCAGAGGGAGCACGAGGCGGGAAGTATGAATGCTGACGGAGTAAGGCAAGGAGTGCTTGAGGTTTAAGTACTGTGCTTCTGGTATCATCATATACATCAAGAACACCAAGGCCATATGAAAGGAAGAAAGCATCTTCACTGGAAAGCTGAAGGTGCTCTTCATCTACCTCAATATCGTCATTTATATCTGCCACTTCCACCGTAGGTGAGAAACGAACAGACTTGATGCGACTGGTAGTCGTCTTTCCAGCAAGTTCATCATTTGGTGCAGATGTACCGCCTTCAGCAGTTTTCGTTTCCTGAGCTGCTTCGTCGTCTAAGGCTGATGTACTTTTATCTGATGCTGGCCCGTCTGGTAACTTTCCCTCGGCTCTGAGTTGTTCAGCAATGGCCTCTTTCTCCTTTCTCGCTCTCTCCAGCTTGAATTGTCGTCTCTCTACTCGCCTCATCCTTGTCGCTTCCTCGCTTGTGCTTTGGCCAATAAGCCCTCTTCTCTTTTTCTCGCGTTCGAGCCACGACGGCTCGCTTCTACTTAGGCTACCTTTACCAAAAAAACCCATCTCCCATAAGATACGGATGGTCTTGGAATCTGTAACTTGGATAGAAGAGGTACAAGCGTCAAAATAAGCTGAGCATGTTATTGGCTGAGGCGGAGATATATAGAAGGTGAGATATGAGAGAGCAATACTGAGGAGTGAAAGGGGGTTGTGCGGTATTAAAGGGGGCAATGGGTGAACAGTTATAGGTAGGGGAAACCGGTGAATGTGTTTATAATTTGGCCGCCGAGGTCGACCCTTAGCTGCTCCATTGTGTGGAACTGACTTCTCCGGACAAACGGTCTTCAGTTCTAAGGTAGAAGATGCCATGACGCCGGCCGTATTGTATACCTATGTATTCTTGACACCACGTTGTTAGCATAATAGCCGGCAATGACAGGTGGGATGCTAGGGACCAAGATTGTCAAAAAAATTGCAGCGTGTGACTCAGATACCGTTGTAGTACAAAAGCACCATCATCGACAACAGCTAGAAATCAGTGCTGATGATCTAGGTAGCGGATATAGTTGTAATCATCGTCGCACGGTGCAATTCCTCTAGTTCATCCTAATCCATTAAGGATTATGGTAGAAGAATGGTATATACTCACAGCAATAACTAGAGATGGGTCGCTCCGTTCTCATCTCACTTCCATATTTTTCTTCAGCCCAAGATAAGTCTCTAATAACAGGGCAGATGTTAGATATTCTGCTTCCACATATCTAGGACATATTCCCTTCTCGTAAGTCAAAGAAGAGCGTCTTGTTTTTGTTTTGACAGTTTTGTTGCTGTTGTCGAGGTTGAAAAAAAGTTGAAGCTTTTTGTCCCGATTTAGTGTGCGCGGCGCGGCAAAAGTTTTCTCCAAAGTTCCGAGTTGCGACATAGAAATAATTTTTTTTTATTTTTGTTAGTGCTGAAGAGCTTCACGATCAACTTGTTGCTTTGGAGACACTTATATCTGTTAAGGGGCCGGTATAGAAACCGTCGCAATGTGAGTACTGCTAATTATCCCTCATTTTTTGCTCTATCTTCACCACCTAATGAGCGTTGCAGCATGCATTTGATGTACACACTCGACTCGGAGGGCAAGCGAGTCTATACCCTCAAGAAGGTCCTCAACGGCCAGGTCACCAAATCCGCCCACCCAGCCAGATTCTCTCCTGATGACAAGTACTCGAGGTGAGTCACATGTCCATGAGTAGTGGATTTATCGTTCGGCCGTTGCGCATTGTACTGATTTCGTCTTATCTGCAGGCAACGAGTTACCCTGAAGAAGCGTTATGGGCTACTTCTAACCCAACAAGCCGGTACGTGGATACTCGATAATAGTCCTAGGTCGGTGAAATTATACTATTGAGTAGTCTGTTAACTTTTACCTTCTTTGCCAGAATCGAAATCGTGAAATTGTTGGCTTTGAAAACGGAGGCGCAAGGCGTTTTTACATTTGTGGGATTCATATCGGATTTGGCACGTCAGGACTAAAAATGCATCCCATAGGATATACACTATTTGAGCTCATATTTGAGATTTGAACTCCTTCCTTGAAGCTCCGCGGTATTGTAAATATATACTACGAAGCATAGATTTATGGATTCATATGATTCTAGCTGAACTAAAATGTTTCTTGATTGCAGCGTCCTTTTTTGCGTCTATAGATCATACCCATATGCGTAAATCATCATAATTATTGCCGTTAAGCTTCCCAAGTTCATCTCTATCTCCGTTTCCTCGAATTAACATTGCGGCCAGCTCCGACCTTAATTCTCCCACCTGCCCTCTGTCTGTCTCCACTGAGAATGGAAGGCAGATAGTCATCATCCATGAGATCTCTTCCTTTCTTCTTCCGTCTCTCCTCCTCGGTAACGGCTCTGATGTGCTCCTTTTGATCCTCAGCCAATATCAGTCCCATTCCCCACCCTCCCTTACCACCACCAACACCGCTCCATTTTGTATTGGCGGTGCCAGCAATAGGTTTGGGAATACTGTACTTGTTCCCTCGGTTGTTCCATTGCATATTCTTCTTTAGATGTATTCGGAACTGTCCCTTGCCTGATGTTGAACAAGAGACTCTGTTAAGGGTGGGTTGTCCGCAGCGGGGACAGAAGTGCTTAGACATATCCCTTGTTACAGTGAAGCAGCCGTGGCATCGCATGACGTAGGATTTTAGCTGACGAATTTGTTGCATGTTGCTGGGTGAAAGAATGTTGAGGTTCATTTGTAAAAGGACGTTTTGCATGGCGAAATCCCCCGTGATAGTGGCAACCTGCATAACTTTTGTCTCTTGTGCGGCTGTACCAATTGCGGCATCGCGAATCTGTCGTTTCTTCAGATTGGAGGGAGTGATCCAACCATCAGGGTCAGAATCTGATTCGTCTATTGGTATAGCATCCTGTTCTTCATCGTCATCATTGATAGGCTCGCCGTCGTCGTTACCGGGGTTTTCAGCATCCTTATCTGGAAGGTCTGAAGCTGGTTCCTCTGGAGCAGCTTCAAGACTCGGTTCGATTGTCGTATTTTCTATCTCTTGGGTGACTTCTTCCACCGCAATATCTGGCTGTTGCTCTTCTACCGTGGCTGCTACCTCATGTTTCTCTTCGATATCCTCCTGCTTTTCTTGGATTTCCGGCTGTTTCTCGCCATCTTTCGCAGCATCCCTTGCTGCAATCAGATGTGCCGGAGGTGACCCATTTATTCCCTTCTGTCCAGGCTCTCGTCTCAACCTCCAGTCTCCGCAGTTTCTCTCGCATTCCACCTCATAAGCCAGAGCTAAAATCTCCAAATCGTTCTTGCTAAGAACTTCCCGGTCACCAGTTTTCTTAGCAAATTCGGATACAACTTTGAGACTGGTAGGTTTCGGAGTCCGTTGAGTAAGGAATGGGAGGTAAAGAGTTTCTATTCGGCGACGAGCTTCTGGATCTCGAATTTCTGAAACTATCGATGGAGTGGTGACGAGGACGTGGGACTGTGAGAGGAGGGTTGAGACGGAAGGGATGTTCTTGATCAGCGGTCCTGCATCGAGTATTATAGTGTGGACGGGCTTTTCCGGCTCTTTGGTATCGACTTTTTCAGACATGATTATTTCTTTCCAGCAAGTTTTCTCTTGTTCCAGTGTTGTTGATAAGCGAAGGCAATATTGCATGTTATTCCCGGAAAAAAAAAATCTCGATAAGGAATTTCAAGATAGAAGTGGGTCTGTGCGTTAAGCTTATCTTATCAGCGACAATCGACCATTTCCCACTTGGGCCACTCATCACTCTATGGCGACAATAATTAGACGGCCACGGACTCTAGGTAAATAATTATGCATGTTTCATTCAGTATCTATAGCTATGCTATCTTTGTAAAAATGAAAGTGCCTATATTAGACAGGCTGAAACCAATGTGGGGGAGATCCTGGAAATGTAGATGTCTGACCGAAATCGACGGGAAAATAACTCCGCATAGATGGTTTCTCCTTACAACAAGGTGAGGCTTTTAGAAGTCTGCAAACTCCTTGTCGACTTCCTCGAAATGGTCAAAGAAGGCCTTGAACATTTGCACACCGAGACCGGGGTCAAGGCTACCAGTAGTGGCTCGGATACTGTGCATGCTCAGCTGCGGGATTCCGACATCAATAGCTCTCATACCAATTCTAGCACTAGTCATGGGTCCAATAGTACCACCACTGCGGCTATCGTTTCTAATCTGGAAAACTTGGAGCTTACAGCCACCCTTGACGGCAAGACGCTGGAAGAGAGCCGTGCTAACGCCCTCGGTAGTCATATGGCCATTAGGATCAGTAGAAACGGCAACACCGTAATTCAGACGAGGTGAGTGATTCTCAAGGTAAGCGTTGAGGAAGTTAGGGTTGACAGCATGGGTGACGTCAGAGGAAACGAAGAAACTGTTGGCAACAGTTTGAGACAGAATGTTGGGTCCATAGCTTTCACGGCACAAGGACTGGGTGATCCGCTCCATGACGCTGCTCATGAAATTGGAATTTGCTCCGCCACGAAGCAAGCTGCCGATTTCCTCGTCGTCGAACATGCCAACCATCTTGATGATACCGGAAGACATGTGATCAGGGGATGCAAGGACTGCTTCATGGGCACTGTAGCAGCATAGTTTGTCGTCGATACGGCCAGCAAAGATAAGATCCTTGTTTAGACCACCAACCTGTGCAGGCTGTATATCGAACAGCTCTAGCTCCCAGTTGACAATGGTGCTGTGGTCTACGTCAAGCTGTTTGGCAATCGCATTGACAAGCCCCTTGGGCTGGGTAGAGGTAAAGTTGTCGGTACCTAGGTCTCCACCGTACGAGTCCTTGGTCGATAGCTCGGGGCCCTTGAACAAGTCCGAGTTGTCAACCCCGATAATGGGAGTCATTTGAGTCTCCTTGTTGAATGGTCCAACGGCGGCAGAACCGAAGTGAGGAGCAAGGGTGGGAATGCGAGCGATTGGCCAGTCCAGCTTGACCAGTCTCCTCTCGACCTTATTAGTTTTGGGGTCACGCACCAAAACTCGACCTCCAATGCCGAGATCACGATCCCACCAGGTCGAGTTCATAGCACCTGCATAAGGGGCGACTCCGAGCTGGACGTATCCAGCTTTGTTTGGAACTGTTGGGAGTGGCTTCAGCTTTGTGCACAGAGCGTCGACGTGTCCACCAACGATAGCCATGCCATTGCCGGGGGTGTAGTGCTTGCCGATGGCGAAAGAGATGATAGCACTATCATTTCGGGTGACGTAGTACTTCTTTCCGCGAGCGAGACACCAGGGCTCACGCTCGGTGAGCTTGATATAGCCCTTGGCCTCAAGTTTCTCAGCGAAAGCGTTGACAGCGTGGAAGATGGTTGGGTTTTTAGTCATGAACTCGCAGAAGGGTCTGGTATAGGCTCCTGGGTTGAATTCGGTGTGTTCATGGTGGATGGATTCATCTAGGGCCCGCGGACGGTACTGAAGGCTGGCCTGAGACTGAGAAAGGTACTCGCTGGAAGAGCCGAAAGAGGCGATTGAGGGGACCTTCTTCGTCATCGTGCCGACTTATACACACGATTACACCGATATATCAACTGTTAACCGTAGCGATAGAATTCTGAAGGTCTTTGGTCGTTCGAGATGGAAGAGGCTGACTCTTACAAGGGCAAAAGGTTGAGTGGATGACGAAACAGCCAGCTATGACTGGAGTAGTTTCGATGACGGCACTCCCCGGGTTTAAGTAAATATTTATGCACCAGAGTCTCAAAATTGGGGAGCGGCCGGCTAGGCTAAATCCACCTGTGGCGCCGCCTATGACTGCTCTCCCTGTCACCGAGGAAACCCATCAAGGGCGCACTTCTGGGAGGCGGTTTAGGGGCTGATTGGCTGTAGCAGCAAGCCCCTGAATAGCCATATGGTAAATCCCAGGCCTGATCCTCTCTTCCCCCAAGTCTTCCCCAGATTCAGAGGGCACTGTGAGACGCTGCAGAAAACCTTGGACGAGGTCTCTGATGCCATTTCGATCGATCGATCGCTTTGCCATCCTCCCAACCAGGTCATATGCTCAAGTCCATGGGACAAACGACATTATTAGCCTTTGCTATATAGAGCTCCTCTCGTACTCCGTACTCCCGGGTTCATGTGGCCGACCACAAATAGAGATAAACATTCGCAGTCTGTTTCTGTGGCTTGCGGCCTTTGGCTCGACCGTGACACCGCCAGAGCTTCGGCAGTCAGGAATAGTAGCTGATAGCCGTCGATGATAGTAGTTCATATTGCTTTTCAGACTAGATCATGAGGCACAGAGGAGCTTCTCGCCTTGGTCTAGGCTGTTGTGTTGCTCCGTAGATTGTTATGTTCGTCTTGCTGGTCAGCGAAGTGCAACAAGAGCAATGGAGAGCATCTTCTGTCGGTTACACATACGGTCTTACAAGATATGAGACTCGAGGAGTTTTCTATGCCGTCAGATGCGCCATCTTGTCATCGTCATCCTGCCTGCGGCCGTGTATATCAACAGGCGAACCGCCAACTGGCGTCTGAACGAGAGAGAGAAACCCGACGACAGCGCCTGACAGTGAGTCCAACAGCTTCTAAAGAGCATGGCTTGGACAGGCCTTCATTAATATTATTATTATTAGCAATGCAAATGCTGGAGACAAGAGCATCGTCACCGTCGCAGGCCTGGGGCTGTTTAAGGCCGTTAGCGAGCAGCCTTACGGGCGAAAGGAGAAGTTAACTAGTTAACTAGTTATGCACCGCAAGGAGACCTTCCAACGCCCAACACCAAGACAAAGACACGATCATCAACCCTGGGGAAGAGGCTTCGTCACTAGATAGCCGGCCGTTGCTGACGACGACTTGATTCTATCTACGGAGTATATCACCACATATTGCTCGTTGGGTTGCCGGTGTCGTTACGCGCCGGCCGTGATGGCTGCTGCACCCATGGCGAACAGCCAGCCGGAAGACCATATCAAATCACTTGGCCCCAGACGACTCTCTTCCAGACGAAGGATTTTGATTAAGCCCAAGGGGACAAGCTCCCATGCATGCTGTCTTATGTTATGAGATAGGAGGCCAGCCCTTGATATATGTATCTCTGTCGGCCTTCACAAATAAGAATGCCAACCCCCCCGGTCCACTTAGCCCTGCTTCGGCTCCAAAACCATCCGGGAACTCCATCGAGGCATCCTTCTCGCAACGCAAGGTTCAGACACAAGTTCGGTACGCCAAAAAACCGCTGAGTCAGCATATTGAGTTGGCCGGAGACCGAAAAGGGTATAGGGCGTCTCCTTAGTCAGCTTGGCAGTGATATTGCTGCAAAACAACCAAGCAGAAGGCGAGGCATGGGCGGAATACGACAGGGAAGACGCGCTGAGTGGGATCAAATCAGGGGTCAAGCCGTCGCATGGCGGCCACAAAAAATACGGAGGCTGTGTAACACCAACAAGGAGAACTGGCCTCGTTTCAGGTGCACGCAAAGGCGCAGGGAAAGGCGCAAGGTCAGCTGTTTACCGGTATTCGTGCATTGTAGCGGGGGTATGAAGGAACGGGCAACATTTCCTGTTGGTATTGTTTGCCGTACTAACTTGTTTTTTCGGTTTACCTTGGTGGGAATCACACGCAGCTCTGGTTCTTAGGTCGCTTTCATTAATTATCGGGATTTGAGAGTTTCCAAGGCTTGTCGTTGCTCAAACCCAAAAAAAAGAGTCAAGAAGGTTTATAGAGATTATGTAATATTCGTATTAAAGTTATTTTTATCTGATCAAGGTTATCAGATGAGTGTCACGGTGGGGCCGCATCAGATAAACAAAAATGCCTATAATAGGAAACCATTAAGCCAAATCACACTCGTCTAGTTGCCCCAAGGTACCTTACTTCGCCTGTTTAAATCTTGCTTATTAGTATAACTTCCCGGAATTATCTTCATATAACTACCTGATTTCAAGCTTCACATTTCCAGTGGATGTTAAAAGGAATCTTCGCCTTCCGTCGACTAAAATGATAGCTAGCTGCTTTCTTTACAGTAACTACCCTGTAGCAGCCTGGGTGCTAAAGAGCCTAGTCATTCTAGACCATGAACTGGGTTAGCTGCAATTAATACGTCTAAGCCAGAAAGGAAAAGATGTGCATTTCAATATTCTGAGCATATATGAGATAGAAGAGTCACTAATAACTGTGACTAGAATACATAACTATAGAGAGGTGCATCGCCTCTACTTCTGAAAGTGGCATACCTTAGCCCTAATAAGCCCGAGGAATATTATTTCAAGCTCGATTAGCAAGGACCCTCATGGCTGATCAATTATCAAAGGTTATATCAATGTTACCAAGCTCGAGGTAGGGCTGGGTTTTGGGGTATAATTGGCGGGTAGTCATGACGGCGCCGAAAGGAGACTTTGTTAGTATCTCCGACTGACGACAACTCGGCCGCCTTTGTTACCGGATCAACCTTGTACGGCCCCACAGCCTCTAGCCTGTCGGAACTGGGGAATTCTTCGTGGCAAAGAGCACCGCAGCGCTGCCTAATCAACAAAAGGGCAGTTTTCGTGCCCGGATATCCTATTGCTTGAAGTAATTATTTTGCAACAGGATGTGCGTGGGTATATCTCACGGTTAAGAGGCCTTTGGCAGCAGCACCAGGTTGAGGGTTTCTATCAAACCCCCGGGAACGAGTTGAAACTAGTTAGTTACGCTGTACCCAAGGTTGTCCAGGTGGAAAGCCGTGCACCAGGGCCGTTACCTTAACTACCTATGGAAACTAACCAATCACGTGGCCTTGCGAACTCGCGCGCCTGAACGACTTCCAATAGTGTCAAGCCAGAGTCAGGATATCAACGACTTGGGCATTGAGGAACTGTGCCTGGTACGAGCGGGATCAATGCTTATCATGGCCCATCACTAATCTAGGCCGTTCAGCGACCAATGATGGCCCTGTCAAATTCTCTATCAAGCATTGATTTCGGCATCGGCCGCGTTGGGATCAGGAATTCGCAACGCTCAGTGGCTCATTCTGCTAGATAGGCATCTAGGCGTCCAGGCGTCCAGCAGATGAGAAAACCGGGGCTGATGTGCCTGCTGCGCCAAGTGGTCCAACTTCATCACCTGCTGCAGCGTTTATTGCCGTGCTGGGCCATATAAAACCGCCATGACCATCGTCCAAAGCTTGCAATCGAACGCTCACCGTATGTTGGATTCTTCACTCTTGTTGATTTTGTGCAGCACTGTCCGCTCTTTTTTTTTTTTTCCCCCTTGAAGACAACATGGTGGCAGCCTTGGGATTCTTCACCTGCTGGGATTCGGTCAAACTGGCCATGCTATTGGCCATCATGCATGAAGACATCATCACCCAAGCATCAATTAGTCATGTCACCATGGGAGCTTTCCCTCTAGAAGCATGGGGCTGGTTTTGATAGTAGGATGATACCCCGTCAAGTTTGATATGAATTGATTCCGCACAGTACTCTTCCAACCCCTGAATGTCAATATCACAGTGTTCATCGTCGCTGCGCAAACATAGGACGAGTCGACCCCTGACAGGGGTAAAGTTACTCGGTTTTTCCGCGGTTGCTGAGTACCGAACTACGAATTTCAGGCCTTGCTTGGAAGTCATTCCGCTTAGAGTCGATAAGATGTGGCCCCGCGTGTTCTCGACAATCCAACCACAGTCGCCCACATTTCCTTTGCAATCCAAAGCCTGTCATACCCCTCACTTTGTGATGGAAAGTTCGGCTTCGGCATACATGACATAACTCACGCTTGGTGGCTTGCTCTCATAACATCAACCCTTCTCACCGATAGAGGGAAGAGAAAAAATGGTACATCTAGCTCATGGCTCAGCCGTCGATTGGGTATCCACGCAGGTTCTCCATGTGCACATGATAGCCATTACCACACCAAGGTGAAACGCAAGGAGGATCTATTACTGCAATCAGATCTTGATGCAAGGACTCGATAATCTCCTGGGAAACACAACTGAACAAAAATATTGGTTGAGTCTGCTTTTTTTATTAATCTGCTTTTTATGCGGCTCTTAAAGCGCTATAAGAAGTTTAAAACTCGGCCCCAGAACAAACTCAATGGAATTGACATCTAGTCACGATCGTACCGTGTGTTGAGAGAAGCCGCCAAAACCTTTCTGTTCTACCCCAAACTTTCTAAGGAAAGGCAACGCAGCCTTGGTGCCGGACAACCTCATCGCCCCGCAATAAACCTATACTTCCTATACTGGCGCGCCGCATTCCTTGATCAGAATCTGCTCCGTTTTCCTTCCGTGCAGAAAATGGGTGACGAAAGATACAAGTCACTAAGGTTCCTATTCAAGGTGGATTATATACAAGTGGACGACGAAAGTCTACAGTTTGATGCTGATGGGTTGTGGTCACCTCCGCACGAATGCACCTATAGCACACTATATTCCACCGAATGGTTACAACGAACTCCGGAGCGTGTGGTTCCTGCAAAAACCCATGGAGACAGCGATTTTGCTGTGTGCAGTCTTCTCTATAGATCGTCAACATCGTACTTCTTTACAGTTCCAGTGGACTGTCGAAACAACGACAGCATGCAAAGTCACCTTGAGCAGACAGAACAGTCCTGGAGACGACTACGCTTCAAGAACGATGAGAGACAGAATTTGTCAATAGCTACCTTCTCGGCTACCAGCTACACACTTGCAGGACGAGGGTCTCGCGACTGGGTACCAGAACTTCTCCCAGACACATACAACGATAGCTATTGCAGCCCGGTTCCCTTTACCCACCTTACAGGCGACCTAGCGCTGATTGTGGGCCTTATTGCCTTCTCTTGTCCGAGGGAAAGGGACAAGTATTGCCTCTCTGATATAATGCAACGATGCTTCAAGCCGCCTCGCTGGAGTCCTCACCGATCACCCCCTCAAAGTAAGTCATTCACCTAGAATACTACTCCTTTCTTGCTTCTAACATTCCTGGATAGGGATCGACAGGCACGGCGTGGTTGTAACCATCAGAGCCGACCCAGAGGCTGGAGACCTGCGTGAAGGAAAGAGGGAACTACGAAAATTCCAAGATGGTAGCTACGGCGCTCTCTTTAAATCCCCCTGATAGTCACCTCTGAAGTTGGCAAGGAAAACAGGAATATCTTTTGCTTTCGTTTTGTTTACATACGTCCTCCAGATCTCGATCCATTGCTCCCCCAAAATCTACCTTACATATGCACGTACACCAGTTATGCTAAAGATAGCCTTGCATTTCTGCCTTATCAGTATCCGCGTCACTTGAGGCATCAGCGCTTCTTACCATCTACATAGGTAACAGCAAGAGGTGCCACACCCCGGCAAGTCATGAGTTTTCTCTTTTCTCTTTTCTCCTTTCTCGCTTTCTCCCATCCCACTCACCACCAGCACCCTTGCTTGAATGTACATTGCCTTGATTGTTGCCTGCAACGTTTGCATCTTGGCAGCTCTCAGAAGCGCATACCTCGTTTGTAGGATTTTCGGTTACACGCAGCTCGTAACTGATGCTGTTATCTTTCTATCCGGCAACCCTGTTCGCGTTCACCGCTGGTTACATGGGATAGCCATTTTCGTTGTCATGTATGTTTCTATCCATTCAAGTCAATCAAATAATTCAAAGATGGTAGACCTTGGATGGTTTGCATCCACCACTCATAGACTGCGTTATATTTCTCTTCAAAGTTATCATTGTGCTATCTCTTGTTCACAGTTGACATGCAGTTCTAAACGTCCAAGAAGCCCATTTCTTTTTTGTTCAGGATGGCCGAATCAATGTGCCACTCAAAACTATTGGGCATCCGGCAAGCGAACTGCAATGTCCCCGGACTGAGTGATGTAGCGAACCCACGGTAAAGACGGGTATTGTAGCTAATAGGCGACTTCAAGTCAGTATTGGCTAACAAAGAAAAAGCAACGCACTTTATCACGAAAAGCCACAGTTCATGGCTTGATGTGAATTGTGACAGAGGGAACACACGGGGCGCGGGGAACGAGGAGATGTACAACATGTCAAACGTGGCCAGGGAGCTTGACAATCGCCTCTTGGCGCGGAATGTTGAACAAAGCCAACAAGTGGATGGCATGTAGTAACACAGATGTGGATACGGGCAGAGAGGTAGAGAGACCGATAAAGTAGAATAGAGGTTGAGAGGGAGAGAGGAAGACGTACCTTTGGCTCTGTGATCTTCAAGTAGCGGACCTGGATGCCACTCGTTGTAAAGTACGGAATCTCGAACTTGACGTTGATAGGCCTCTTCCCTTTTCCACCTTGTCCTGCACCTCCCATACTTCCACCAAACCCGCCGGTCATCCCACCGCCATGCTCGTCATCACCCTTAACGGACGGTAACCCTAGTTCAGCACGCATTAAAAACTCTTTTCCACCGCCAAACTGTTTGATCTTCCATATAATGGCGGATTTCTCGGGTGCGTAATGAACTGTGCCCACATTTGTCCGGAATCTTGGTGAGTCTGCATCTTCGGGTACGGGAACGAGAATCTCCACGTTGTTTGCTGTACTACGTCGCTTAAATTGAGCCTTTGCCTAATTGAAAGGAAGCGAATGAGTCAGTCTATCTGTCACGTTTGGCTTTATCTTTGCAAGTGCTGCGCAGATAGGTATGAAGTAACATACTTTAAGCATATATTCGATGCGCGAGCCTGAGTGCGATTCCACGAGACACTCTACCCATATCAGCGGCTTCACTTGGGTGTTGAGTCGGTAGCTCATTAGCTCGAATTCACCATCTGGTGGGATAAAGCTAATTGTTCTGTCGTTTTCAAATCTGGACAGTCGTACGCATTGGTGGAACTTGACATCTTCCATTTCGACAGCCTTACCCCTAGTTGCTCGACCTGTTGTTTCGAACATCACTTTGTCATTTAAGCCTAGCCGAAGTTCTGGCATACCGCTGAGATAGCATTTCATCTTCACAGCACCCAATATTTCTGATCGAAGCACGTTTCCGCTAGCAGAAACAAGGAGGTTCAACGATTCAACGACATCAAGGAATACTTCATTTTTGCGGTATCGGATTCCTTCGCTTCTCCATGAAACTGCATTCGTGACAGCTATTGGGGGTCTTGCTTGTACTTCAAGCTTGTGCGATTCTTGGGTAATGTATCTATGTAATAAGGAATGTGGTTAACCATGCCCAACCCCTGGACATCCTACCTCGCCAATCTTATAGCCAAAAGTGGGATAGGTAATCATACTCTTGTAATATCTTGCTCTCTGTGGTTTGTGGATGGCCAAAATCCATCATTTCATCCAGCAGTTCGTATATAATGACAAAATTGTCTCGAATACTCTCCTCCTCCAATTCCTTGAAGTATTCCGTAAAGACCTCCACAATCTTGTGTAGGAAGAGAAGTATTTCGGCGGCATTTGTGTTTCGTTTCGTAAGAGCAAGGAGATACAGGTTACTGTGTCGGATATAAAGGTACTGTTTATTGCCCCGGGTTAGACATATGCGCCTACTAGAGTCCGGAAATACGTCGACATTGTATAGGAGTGTTGGCAACATACATTAACTCCTTCGGAGGAAAAGCAGGGAGGAACCGCGGAGCTCTCTTCTTCGGCTTCACTGAGAAGGATAGGGAATTTTTCGACAGCAGACATGGGGATGTCACCGCGATAGTTGCGGGCAAGAAGGGTCTGGCGGATGCTCTGGTTAGCTGCAATGCCAGTGGAAATGTCATCAGGGAACACCTTACCTTGCCCTTAAGGTCTAAGAAAAACACCGCCGAAGCCATTGCTGAGCAAGATATAAGTAAGGGGGACCTCTTCGAACAGCTATTCGTTTAAGATCAGGAGGCAACAACGGCTTATTTATCTAGCTAATCATAGTTTTGTTCGAGGTAAAGAAAGGAAAGAAAACTAGCGTAAATAAGAGGCCGTCAATTCATCCCGTTGTCTATATCGTCATCAGCAGTCAATCTCAAGCGATGGTTGCGTATCAAAGGCAGCACCTCCTCCTCGTCGTCGTCCGTCTATGTTATCCACGGAGGTTTGGCGTCGCTATCTCTAGACAGCCCGCAGACGTGGCCACATCGGGACTAGCGCCACTCTATAAAAACTACAACTCTAAAAATTTCCTGGCCGTTTCTTTCTCTTCTTCACAAACGCGCATCCTTCAGACAGTGCTAACCAACATATCCAGTCTTGTTTTTCAGGGCTGGTCTCTAATCGTGGCCTCTGGCTTTCTGTCAGGCCATATCAGGGTATTCAATTGCTGCGCTTAGCGATATTGTGATGCGTAGACCAAACTCCAGGGACTTCATAAGAACTGGCCGGGCATTTTTTTTTTTTACTTGTTGCGCGGGCGGTGTCAGAGAAGTCGGACAATCGTTATCTAATTATACAGAGGTGTGTATATATCAGTGGCGATAGAGAGAGAAATTTGAGGGAGCCATGTTTTACATTTCATCCGTCTGTCAGTATTGTACAAGCCTGTTCAAATACAAGAAAATATAAAAAATACAAACGATTAAGAGCAAAATCTAAGGCTCAAAGGTGCCAAACAGAATATCTTCAACGCCATACCATGCCATAAAGCCAAGTGTATATATCTATTTACCGCACTGCTGGTCAAGCGTTTCCGCCGATTTGGAAACCCAGGGGCTTCAGGATTCTATCGCGGACGATCTCGTTTGCGACTTTACTTCCGTGTTCGAGTGCAATGGCTCCAATGATTGCGTACATAGCATGGGTGTATATCGTGTCAACTCCAGATTCAGTCAGGTCGTGTTGCTAGATCGTTTGGTCAGCGGAAGTTTCTTTGCTGCATACATTCCAGCACATACCATTCTTGGTACCCATCTCATAACCTCATTTACGCCGTAATGTCTAGCTAAAGCAGACATTTCCTTCTTCCGTGTCAATTGAGACCTCGTGTTCTGAGACAAGACTTCGAGACCCTTGAGCGCAGCAGAGTCATATGGCAGCCTTTCAAACGGATCTGGCTTTGAGGGTTGGGCGTAGGCCGTAGGGTTTTGAACGAGGGCAAGAGATGCTTGGAGGAGGATTATTTGCTTCCCTGCGGCGTAAATACTATTAGCAAGTCATGATTTCCTTTCGTTTCCTTTCATCTTCTCATATGTGGGCGCAGCGTCCCAGTTGTGTATGGGAACGTACCAAAGTAGGCCAACCGATCATTGAACCCCCTCCGTCCTTGATCAAAACTTTTATGCGTAACTGCTTGCCATTTGACTTCTTCTGACAGTAATTTGTCCCCGTTTTGTCCTAGCATTCGCACGTAGAAGTTGTCCAGCACCGCAGGGTCGGAATTGACCTTGAACTCAGTCTTATTCGGAGATTCACGCAGGCGGACCGGAGCCTTCATGGCAGGAGGGGTTCGCTGCCATCTTGGGATTGAGTTCGACACGGCCTGCTGTTCTTGGGGAGCGCGGGAGGATGATATTCTTCGTCGAGAGCTCGGTTGAGACTGTGAGCAAAATGGTAGAATGAAGCGTGGGGCGCGCCTGCACACAGGCTGGGCAAACCCAGCAGTAATTGTCTGGAGAGGAGATATTTTTGAAGCCATTAGTAGCAGTCGATGGCCTGTCCGCTATTCATCCGGAGGTATCAAGTGCCCGTCAAAACGTAGTCTTGGTTCAGCAAAGTCGCAGATGGTCGAAAGCTACGAGATTTCTCACACGATCACGCTAGCCCCGATTAGGACAAGTGTCGAGCTCCTAACGACTCCCACTGTGCCAAAGACAACGACATCTATCATGAGGACTGAGTGTACCATTCCTCCATGTACATCGAAAGTGAAAGATTGTATGGATGCTCTTCGTCGAACTCATCGTCATTTCTCCAGCTCTTATTCCGTGGCAATACCTCTCTTCCCCAAGAAGTAATCGGAAACCATGCCGGAAGTATACCCATATAGAAGAAATGGCTCCTTTCCAACTATGCACGTATAATAGAAGTATCGGTTGACAACCTGATATGCGTACAATCAACTTCTATAGAGAAGCTATAATGTCGATGACATGCAGAGCTTCCGCTGGGATACCCCGTCAAACAAACCCCACGGAAGTTCCTCGCCCACACAATCTGACTGCAGCGTAGAGAAGATCCAATGCTTCCTATTCTTAGAAAAAGGACTTCGTCTTTCTGTTTGCTATTCTTTTCACCAAAACCAAACGTCATTTTTTTTCACACATCTCCGTTTTCCTACCTGGACCAACCGAGGTGCCATGCACTGATAAGTATATTTCGCTATACCATGGGTGTTTCTCAAGACGTCGGACCTCATACTGCCTGGTGGGACTGGCCTCGACTCTGCCTTTGACATCTCGCGCGGGGATGGAGAGCCTTACTGAGTGTTTGCCATATTTTTCTCTATTTGGCTACCGTTGAGACTTGCAGCGTTTAATGGGTGAAACGGGACCCGCGGGAACTCTCGTAATAGTAACTTATACCGCTACAGCCTAAGCTATAGCTGCTGTAACTTCCCCACGGGAAGGGAATAGGGCGGCCAGTCAAACGAGAGGCCAGGAATGCGGCCACGAGGGTGAAGCGGCAGCTTGCATGTTGCACCTGAAGGAGCAACAACCCAGGACAGACTGGCAGATGGGCAGCCAGATAGACCCTGAAAACAGGCCCTTCCTCTCTTCTTTTCTCCATGTCCTCCACGTGCACTGCCTGGAGTCCTTGATATCCAAACTAGGCACTGGCTAGAACCTTCGATAGAACATAGATACCTAGTTGTCCTGCTTGCTCACGTTATCTGAAGCTCAGGCTTTTGTCTCGTTTAAATTCGCACACAACCTCTCCCTCTTTCTCATCCTCTCTTATTTTTGTCCTTTACACATTGTCTACTATCACACATTCGCACGCTTCCACGCTCTCAAGCACTTTCTAAGTAATAACAAGCCTTGTTCCTCCTCTTACTACACGCTTAACCCGCCCCAACTGTTCTCTGCAATGCCTGTTACCATGAACTTCTCTTCTGGGCCCCGTGGTATCCAGCGCTGTACTTCAGGACGCTCTTCCACTCAGGACAAGCCTGCTACTGCCAACATCAACACCCATGCTGAGGCTGAAGCCTTCAACCAGGATGACTTCTCTGTCACCCCCTTGTCTCCTCGACCAACTCCTCCAAACCCACCACCAAGCCCGGTTTAAGGGCCACTCCACAAAGCAGCCGGCATTTCCAAACAAACTCGTCACAACTTGAGAATGCTACGGTATCAGAATCCGAGGCCTCAATGGCTCTACATGTTGAGAAATGGAGATACAACAAACATAAAATAAAAAAACCCGCCTGTTGAACAAAACACCACTGATCGGCCATACCACTACTACTACGCTGTTCTACTATCCCATCACCAACAAGCGTCATCACTTCTATGGAGTATCAACAACAGACGAAAAAAAAAAAAAAAAATCTATCTCTGAATGTATATTTTATCACAACTTTTCAACCTCAACAATTCCGGATTTTACAACAACATTAATGTACCCTTACCGACTAATGGCATTTTCTATGAACTCAGCAATTTTTTTTAAAAGGGAAAAAAAAAAAAAGGTGTGAGGTTTTATGTGGAAAAAGGTGAAATATTATGTGGCTTCATTATTGTCAAAAGTGTTGTGCCTAGTTTGTATGTAGAATACATTAATGAGACCCTTAGACATTCCATGCTGCCTGTAGCATAATGTTTAATGTTCCTGCCTACACAAGAGAGAATTAATGCCTAATTTCGCTTCAAAACTGTGTAGGGAACATTCCGTGTAAGGATCTATGGTAGATAGCACATAAGACTTTCATCTTATTAGGATAAAGTAACTAGAAATAGATGATGGGTTTCAAACATGGACATATACATTGAGCAACACGCAATGGTACAAAGATGAAAGAGCAGTCAGAAGCCTGGTGGTCCATACTTTAATAAGGAACTTAGAGCAAAGCCAAGGCAAGAGCACTGCTAAGAGTCAACCCAACAACAGTCCATCCAGTGGTAATAACCTGCTGGTTGGTCAACTGCTTTCCTAAATCCCAAACAAGATGCCTCACACCATTGAAGCAATGGAAAGTGAAGGGCAGAGCCATGGTGAACTTCATGGCAACTTTAGCAGCAATAGGGAGGGCAGCAAAGGCAGCAGCCAAAGAAGCAGATTCAAGGTGCCATCCGAGTAGTGGAGAGACGAGATAGGCGCTGGCGAAGATATAGAGGCCACCGGAGAGAATGGCACCAGTGATACGGTTAAGACTGGACAGGTACCAGGTTATCTGTGGTCGGTATATGCTGAGATGTGGAGAGACGGGGCGGTTAAGACGCTGTTTGGCGAGGATGTTGTTGGTCTCAGCGGCGCCAGAGGGCGCCGCAGAAGATGTTGCCGGTCTGATATAATATGTTTGTTAGTCCTCATGTTGATTAGATATGCGCTTATACGCCCATTCCTCGATCGTCAACGTTGATTGAATTCCAGGTTATCAGCCTCCCCAGCCCACACCACAACCATGCCAGGCGTGTAACAAGAGAAGCACCGGTATATCAACGAGGATACTAACCTGAACTGAGCATAGTTTCCGGTTGCAATGGCAGCCGGTCTGGCGAACTTGGATACCGAGTTTCTGAATGCAGATGGGTGTTGTGTCGCAACTAGGACGATTATTAGCACTGAACAGCCCACCAATTGGCGTATATATAACCACTTACGTCGTCTCAGCGACTGCTGCGCTAGCCTGTTGGAAAACATCTTCGCGTCTGATTGAATTGCCCTGGTATATCTCTGCTCTCAACGGGACATCATAGGCAAAATCCCCAAACCAGAAACGTCCCGAACAAATGATGAAGTTACCCTCGGCTTATGTAAGGCAGAGTCGGCAGATATCGGAGCCAATCACAATCGTGCTAATTCCAAACACATGACCGGAAGAATTATATCCCGCTCCGGTCCATTTTGGGAAATCTGCACCAAACGGGCACAAAAAACTTCCCCTTCTCTCCTTCCTCTCTTCTTCTTCTCTTTACATCAAGGACCTCAGCTTTCATCTCAGACCGGCTTGTTGCTACAGTTCCTGTGGATGATGCGCTCGGAATGAAGGAGATGCTTTCTAGCGACATCTCACTCTAAGCTGCGGCATTCTGTCGTGGCTCATCGAGATGGTCATGAGGTTTTGAGAGTGAGAAAGCATATTTCAACCCGTCGTTAATCGCCCAGTCCACTCTTTCAATGAGCGAGCTGGGTTTCATATCAGGGTCACAAATTTACTGTCAGTATTTGGTTATTTATTTTCAACGAGTTCTATTTTCTGCGAGACACCAATATTGGGTCTCTTTACTATCCGAGTTCCGGGGTAATATGATCCAATAACTTATATCAATCTAATTGCATATACGAATGATATTCATCCAAAGCTCTTGTCATATCTTACCTGTCTAAAATATGCCTAGCAACCCAGTCTTCAGCCCACTGCTTCATCACTGTATCAAAAGTCCATCTGCACTGATATGCTGAGTAAGCGCAGACTCAAAAATGGTCACATGACGTGTCACGCGAGCGAGGTGCCTCGGTCCTCGGCCTGTGATGTCTTGATGGAGAGCCGCGAAAGCGAAGCGACGTTTCTTCCAAGGCGTCCTTCTTGGGGGGGAACGTCCCTCGATATATCATTCTTTCTCTTGCAGTCGTCCCGTTCTGTGCCTTCCCCAGCCCCCGAAATATCACGTTCGCTTTATAGACTAGAAGTATATAGACTACATACCGCTGATACCCTTGACTTTTAACTTGTCGACGATGCCTTTCACCACCGAACTCACGCGGAAACTAGGGATCAGAAGTCAGTTCAAGTCTTCACTGTTCGCGAGGCTTCTTGTGCAGGTTTTGCTAACAGATACCCAGTTCCCGTTGTCCAGGGTGGTATGCAATGGGTTGGATACGCTGAGCTAGCATCCGCCGTCAGTAATGCTGGCGGACTTGGAATCGTACGTCCTTCACCTCCGTCGAGCCATTTCTGTGCCCTAAATGTGGTTTGATTGCTAACGGGTATCAAATAATGACAACAGCTTACCGCCCTGACACAACCCACTCCCGAAGACCTCCGAAAGGAAATCCGAAAGACCAGGACGATGACCAAGAATCCGTTTGGTGTCAACCTCACTTTCCTGCCCGCGCTTACACCGCCCGACTATCCCGCCTACGCCAAAGTCATCATTGAAGAAGGAGTCCGCATCGTTGAAACTGCAGGAAACAACCCTGGTCCTATCATCACGCAACTGAAGAAGGCCGGCTGTACCGTTCTCCATAAATGTACTACCATTAGACATGCCAAGTCGGCTGTCAAGCTAGGCGTGGATTTCCTCTCCATTGACGGCTTTGAGTGCGCCGGACACGTTGGGGAGACTGATATTACAAACTTCATCCTTTTGAGCCGTGCCAGACAGGATCTGGGTGTTCCGTTCATTGCATCGGGTGGATTTGCGGACGGCAACGGTTTAGCTGCTGCACTAGCGCTGGGTGCTTGCGGAATTAACATGGGTACACGATTCATGTGTACTGTTGAAGCACCTATCCATAATAATATTAAGGAAGCCATTGTGAAGGCAGACGAGACGGATACTCAGCTGCTTCTTCGTCGGTGGAGGAACACATCCCGTCTGTTCAACAACAAGGTGGCAGCGGAGGCATATAAGATCGAGAAGGAGAGCCAGACGGGTGAGTTCTCCGAGCTTGCGCATCTTGTTAGTGGAAAGCGTGGGCGTCAAGTCTTTATCAATGGTGACGTAGATTATGGAGTAAGTCCATTTCTCCCCGTTTACCCCGTTCACCCCCGTCTTTTCTTTACCGGAAGCACAATTCCGTTTCCACTCTTTTTTCTTCCCCCTTCCTTTCCCAGGCTATAGTTGTGCTGACTTGTATTTTTTTTTTCTTCCACTGTGGAATAGGTCTGGACTGCAGGACAAGTCATCGGCCTTATCCGTGACATTCCAACCTGTGCCGAGCTTCTCACTCGTATCGAGAAGGAGGCTGCTGAGGTCATGGCAGCAACCAACAAGCTATATACACCAGCCACGCAGAGCAAGCTGTAGATGCATACAATGGTGATTGGGAATCAGCCCATCATAGACCCGGCTAAGATCTGTTTGAGACGTTAAGACATGCATAGTTGTGTTAGCTTGAGCTTACCATGCTTCCTATCTGATAGAATAATTTTAAAACCTTTGGCCGTTTTCTTCCTTTGTCCATGATAGACAACGAATTGCCCGTATCCGTTTCCAGCAGGACATATTGCACCAAACACTCCGTAGAATGAAACAGTTGCATGCATTACCAGCAAGTCTTTGGAAGCTGGCTGACGCCGTTTATCGTCCAGGTTCAAAAATTTCCGGCCGCAAGGGTCAGGATAAACTAGCTTCCCTTCCGCAGACCCCTGAGCCGAGATGTGGAACCTTGCGGGCGGGACCCAAAACAAACCGAAAGCTCTGCACAGCCTGCCTGCGCGCGATCGATCTTCTTCTGCTTCCTCAGATGCGTACGTACGGGTGCGAATTAGAAGAATAAGGCGAGGGCAGAATCAACGGGGATGGAAAGAGACGCGTTCCTGGTAGAAACTCAACACACCCGACGCTTACTAGAAGTTTTGTAACCTAGTACCATAGTTAGTGCTTGCTGGCGCCTGTCACACCCTGCGATTGAGATCTCAGCGCGAGCAGGAGATATCGCAATCCCGGTGCGCCAACGGCAGCGAATAAACGTCCCGTAGGGCTCACAAAAGACAGCAAATGCAAAACATTGGGCACAGAGACATGCAGGAAGCAAAAAGGGAAGCAAGAGGGAAGAGAAAAAAAACCCAGCTACGACCTGTGCCCCCTTTTCACCCTGGCCTATCCCTCCTAAGAAAGGCGAGGCCTCTTCGGGGAGATGCAGGTTGCCATGGACGAAAACGACTGGTTCTTTCAGTCCCCGTCTCCACAGAGATCTCGCTGGCCAGGGTCTGCCCTGCTGCTGGTGCTGCTCCCAGAGCGATGCCCAAGTTGCTGCTTCACTCGATCCATAACGACAGACTTTTTTCACAAACACCTTCACGAAGGCGAGTGCGTCCCTGAGCGATTGAGAAGCGTCTGAAGGCCGCTGCAGAACCTCCTGTGCCGTACATAGTAGACGCCGGAAGGGTGTTATTTGGCCCCCTTTCACGCCACGGCCTGGAGATCTTCGCTCCGTCTCTCCCAGGGGAGATATTATTATTATTATTCTTTACCTTCCTTGCATTTGGTTAACCGTCAGCGTTTGACTTTCTCCCTTCTTCTTCTTCTTCATTCTTTTCTTTGCTTCGTTGTTCTTCGGCCTTTTTTCCCTTTCTTCTTGCCCCCCCCCCTGCTTGCATCGGCTGCATCGGCTGGAATCGTCGATATCCATAGCTTCCTTTTGTTAGTTATCAATCCCGGGGCCTAGTTAGCAGAACCCAAAGCTCTCCTCCCGCCGTTGCAGCTGTCCAAGGTTCCAAGCAAGCAACCTCCAACTTGCTTCTCCTCCAGCCTACCGGTCCGCTCTTCACCGCTTAAAAGCCATGCCTCTGTTTGCCTCTCTGTTCTCCCGTCGACGTTCTCGCCAGACGCGAGAGAAGGAAGCAGCGTCAGTGCCAGCGTCACCTGGCAATGATGCTGTTGAGGCGTCTGCAGGGCAGAAGAATGGGACCAACCATAAAGCTCCCCGGGTCGAGCTCGATTTTCCGCACATCAATCCATCGTCGGCAACGAGCCAGCCCGCGGCCGAGAACGAACCCCGAACGCCAGCTCCCGACGATGACGACAAGCCCGTGAACCCAGCTTCGGTAGAACTGCCCGTCTCGCCACAGAATGAGCAGCCAGGGTCCCCCGGGATAGTGGTATCCAAGAAGCAGTCGTTGATGTCAGTAAGGAGTGACGGGCAGCAGCCGCAACCACAATTCTTTAAGGAGGGGAAGAGACGGGCTCGCCGAATGTCTGTCTTCTCGTCTCTCCGATCTAGACCGTCGACCGCAATGTCAACCGCGACAGAACCAGCTCCAGAGCTCCAGATGTCGCCTGTCACCTCGCATGTCAACCGACCCTACTTCCCTCCAGACCCAAAGTTCCAGCTGGACTTGAAGCCAGATGCCTTTGGCAAGGCTTTCACCGGATCTAGCCTCCCTTTTGTTGAGGAGATGTTTGGTACCAATGGTGGTGAAAATAATAACTCAGTTGGATTGTCTGGTACTTCTACCACCACCACCACTGCCGCCACCACTACAACATCCTCTCTAGATCCAGGAAATAATGTTTCACGAGGATGGTTGTTACCAGATTTAAAATCAGTTATGGATGGAGATACCCTGAACACAAACCATACAAATGCTACATTGAACCAGTCCAGTTGTTCCGCAGACAATGACGGAACAGCAACCCAGGCCACCCCCCATGCCAACTCTGAGAAGATAGAGGAGACCTCCTCAGAGAGTCTGCCATCCCCCTCCTCGTTACCCCCACTACCTGCTTCGCCAGAACCAGGTTCACCCAAATCCCCTAGCCGGAACTCTCTAAAGAGGCTGCTTAGCAAAAGGATATCCCCAGAGACACAGCAGGGTAGTACCCTGGCTGACACCAACACTGCTGCTCCAAATGGTGTGACTGCGTAGTAGCATTTGGTTAAAGAGACTGTATCAGGGCATGGTTATTCTGATTTTATTCTTTCTTTTTAGGCGTTCTTGGGTATTAGCAAGATCCAGAGCACAATAAATTGATACACCCTTGTTATTCTTTTTTATTATTATTCTCTCTTCCTTGACATGTTATGCTACCAGAAAAGAATGCTATTTATAGGTCAGCCGTATGCAGAGGGGTGTCGAATATGCAGGGGAAGCATACGAAAAGCCATGCAGGTACGGAGTACAAACACTCTTTCTTTGATAAGCTACATATGTCTGGATATATCCTCGCTTAATTAATGAGTAATGCATAAATCACACATGTCTGATGCTACTTGTCGTATCCAAGAATGCCCCCTTTTTGCTCAATCGAAGGATACATACATGTCACAAGAAGCCAGCAACCAGCAACCAGTAATTACATACATAAACACTTGACTCGGACGGGACAGCTAGGCCGATAAGGTCCTGGTATTCCCAGGCCCAGCTGCCGTCCCCCTCCCCTTTTGCAGTGGTTCTATCAGCTACAGTTGATAATCCTTTTGTGGCTTCCGACTATGTCTAGATGGTCAAGACTAGGGCTCTTAGCCCTCAGTAGAAGGTACCTAGTAGCATACTCTGGAAGTCAAAGGAAATGCACCAGCTGAAAGCTACGTTGCCAAGTGAACAAGCCGTAACAGGTCAGCCATGAGGTCACAAAGTAGTAGCGTCTCCTTTGTTTTTTCCCGTCTAACCAGGAATTACCTAGGTAGATACCTGTTCACTAACACAAAGCTGGAAAACAAAAAGGAAAGACCTTGGACGGCGGGGATCTCTGTGGGAAGTTACATGATTATGTAAGTCGGAAATTGACTTCCGGGTTTCGGTAATACAAACTTCCGATAAACTGGAGCTGGTGCCCACCGGGGCCCGTGCACAGGGATCCACCTGATGAACCTCAACCGGACCTCAAACTTGAACTCCTGGCTGCACGGAGTTACGTGTACACAAAGAGAATGCTTGTACAGGTTATTCGAATCGTGCTTGGAGGCGGTTATACCAAGATAGCCATCGTTAGAGCAGTTCTGTGTCCGTTTATTGTGACTTATTTACAAAATGTTTGGAAATTAGAACTGTGAAAGAATAAGCAGAAAAGGCTGCGGGAAGAAGTGAAGTATGCAGTCGCAAGCAAAATATATTAAGTACTAAGCATATTATTATCTAATAACAGGAAAGCCAACAGACAGTGGAGGTGGATGTTCTATCCCGAATCTCAACCCCTTTGGGTAACATAAGGAACAGAAAGGAAAGGAGAGAAACGGTGGCATTGGCCTCTAGAAGAAACCACCAAGATGTATGCCGGTTGATGTAGGCTGAATCAGGTTGTGACTCAAGACCATCAGTGTCGAGAAGGGAGTTGCTAGGCCGTCTAGATGATGTTCTGGGCAGCACACTTGAGGTCGACGTTGGCGTTGACGAGACCAACCTAGAGTCTGTTAGTTATGCGGGCGGAAGACAGGATTGTATGGGGATAATTGCTTACCTGGTTGGTGTCGCCAACCTTGCAGCAGGAGACCTGGGTCTTGCAGTTGGAGTTGAGGAGGTCCTGGACTCCGATGACGGCTGTAGAGATGATATGTTAGCGAGAGGCTTGCGGTTTTGATACCCCGGATGGATAGGCTGAGTAACTTACCAGCAACGTCGACCTTGGAGCAACCCTTGAGGAGGGAGAAGTCCTCGAGGTTGATGTTGTCGAGGATTGGGATGAGGCCACCGGCGGTGAGGGGAGCGCCGACCTTCTTGGTCTCAGTGTTGCAGCAAGAGACCTGGTTGCCGTTGCCGCAGGCAGTGACGAACTTCTGGAAGTTCTGCTGGAAGTTGGCCTCCTTCTCGGGGGTAGAGACGTAGCCAGCACCGGGGTGGGCAACAACAGCGGAGGCAAGGGCCAAAACAGCGGCGGCAATGGAGAACTTCATTTTGACTGATTGGTTTTTTGGAAGAGGATTTCTCTTAAAAAAGAAGAAGTCGATTGTTGGAGATTGAGGCTGTTTTGGAAGTTGTTGTGAGATGCTTGAGAGTGATGCTGATGGAGAAAAAAAAAGTCGATGGATGGGCAGACTTCAAGCTCCTTATATAGACATTCTGGAGAGGTTTGACAGTCACTTTCGGACTGAAAAAGGGGTTACTGGCAGACAATACTGTGCAACAATTGAACTCAAACGCAAAGGGAGATATCGTCTTTGCCACATTGGGGTTGGGTTGCAAATCCCGCCGCCCATCTCGTTTACACGGGAATGTGGTATGGCCTGTATTAGGATCGGCGGGTCTAAGCTGTACATGCACGGGTTCAGTTCTAGATGGACTTTTCCATTCTTGCCTCTAGTAGCATTTTCGCGTAGAGCGGAGAGCGAGCGCCAGCCCCCCCGTTCATGCTCCGCAGCCTCCGTC